TAGTTTAGCAGCACTCCGGCGACTCATTTTTTTTGATTTATTAATAGCTTCAATAGCTAAGATAACCCGAGCTTCTTTTGAAGTGTCATTCATTGTTGATTGTTGATTAAACGCGTGTTGAATTGAAGAGTTGCAAAATAGTGAAAAAGTGCGCGAGGCACTGATATGCGCGACGCACTGATAAACCACGTTATAAGGTACTATAAGGTATTGTAACGCAACGTGACAGGCGAGGCGAATCGGAATGGGGAAGTGTATATATAACTGTAGTGATGGTATAAATTATACCAATGATTTACCTTATTCATTGTCATTCTATCTCATCTCATCCCATCATTATGATATTGAGGAATCAGATCAGAGAGAGGTTGGATATTTATCTAGGCAGATACTGTACTCGAGTATGAGGGAAAAACATCGTGACGAGGTCTCTCTATCTCTATTACCCCTCATCACAAATATCTAATCACATCACCATCATTACTCATACATATATCGACCACACCACACCATACCACCATACCATACTCCAAGAATAGACAATCACCATCACCACCCGAAAGATCCCCGATCCCCGGTACGCGCAATAATTACCCCTCATCTCACCTTACCTCACCTCACCCACCTCACCTTATTCATCTTGCATTCAGCTGTTTGCGAATGTATAATGAATGCGATTTCTAAACAAACGGATGAACGGTGACACGCGTTACCAAGTCTACACTTACTTGTGTGCTGCTGTTGTGTGGTTGGATTTGTGTGGATATGTGCATGTACAAGTACATGTGAATGGGTGAATGGATAGGTCACGTAGGCTGTCAGATTGAAGCCTTGAAGGTATACTCGAGTGGACAGTACGTACAGTACCCGCTAAGTGGCGGGGGCGGGGGCGGAGGCGGAGGCGAATTTTGCGAAGTTGGAGGGAGAGGAAAGAGGAGAGTAAGAAAAGGAAAGAGGAAAATTGGCTGATGTGATATGAATGTGTGTGGTAATGATGGTATAGTATGCATCGGAAAGACGCATGGAATGAAACGGGATGAGATGAGGGTATTGCTGTATGTATATGAGATGAGTGAGTGCTTATTTGCATATGTAAGTAAGTTATTGATTAGGTAAATGTGCGATGGCGGCGGAGATAGGGGATGTGGGAGGTAGGATATATGATATAGGATATAGGGCTTACATTCTCGGTGAGAGTTTGAAGCTAGCGAGGAGCTAAAACTGATGACTAAAAGAAAGTAAAGTATTCTCGTCGTGATCGTGGCGAGAAGATATATACTCTGAGCAATGATTCAAAGCAGGAGATGAGTATCAATCAAGTAGTGAGTTGCAACTTTGAGATGATAACGGCAAGATGAGTGAGATACTTTCCGTACTTCCGTGTCCTGAGTGGGAAACTTGGATTACATGACATGCTACTTACCTCTGATGTTTTGTTGTGGAGGATGCTATGCTATGCTATGCTTTCGATTTAATTTTTGTTGATTTGAGTCGAATACAATAATCGATATCAATTATTTCCCGACTAGAATAGAAGTACTAGTATCACGAACAGCAAGCACAACACTACAACAATACAAGTCGTCGAATCTGCACACAGTTGTCAGAACAATTTGATATCTAATCATGACTAGAATTTCCTGTCCTTTCCAATATATCAACGTTTGCCAGTAGCTTTGGAAATCATCATAACTGCGAGACTATTTCCTTCTTGTTTCCTTAGTATAAAGCACACTTTTCTCTCTAACATATATTATTGCGTTTACTGTCTCGATGACTAGACTAGATTTCGGCCTTGTAGATGCAAAAATCATGTCTGATATATTGGTTATACCGATTATCCGCGCGTTGATCCCATATACTCGAGTATATTGTTTGAAAGATGAATTTATTTCCTAGGTCTCTAACTCTAAATATTACCATTTATATTCTACCACCCTCCACTCTTCAATCTATTGATCATTCAAGACCCGTTCTTCAATCTTGGAATGAGAGCTTTCGTTATAATACCACTCGCTCGTTTCAGTATCCTTCTTCGATTTATTTAGGTATTCCCAGTCCTCGTACTAGTATACTCGAGTATCTAAGATGCTTGGGATGTAAAGTAAATAAGTCTTCTCTGCATTTTCTCATATCCAGTCGATATGTACTGTATATGTGTTCACAAAAGATCATATATCTTCATCCGATACATTTCTGGGGTTTGACTCTGGGAATATATATCGTGATGTCGAGGGAACAGGAATAGGTCGATGCAAAGGTGTTTGGTGCGTATTATTATTATTCAACTACTTTCAAGTGTATTGAAGTGTATTGTACAGTATGACGGAAATGAATGATGGATCTCGTATATCATGAATGCGTAATTGATGGTTTGGGAATGACTGGGTTTATTCATTTAGTGCTGATGTTAAAGGTTTTGCTATTGGGAATTTGGGTGGGCATATTTGGAGGGGATATTCATGCTAGCCACACCGTAACGATTTGGATTATCAGTCAATCAAATTATTCTCAAGTCGGAATATAGTTTGAATTATTACATGCCACTGAGCTATGCCGTAAAGGATTAGAGTCCATGCGATGTACTATACCGACTCGATTACCACCTCCATGATTTTCCCGAATGATCATCAAGAAGTCATTTCTACGGCCAACGAAGCCTCAATAATCTTCGAATTATCCTTTGACATATGCATTCTCGTGGGCAAACCTTCATCGTTTCCTGTTGTTCGGTATACGGCTTCCATTTTGATGTACAATGGACTATTAGTTGAGAACATGGCATCAATAGATTCGAGTGAGCGATCCGCCGTCTCGGGGTAAAACACAAAGATGATGGGCATCCAAAGAAGATTCAAACCTGCGAATAAGAAATATGTCCGACTCTCCAGGTTGGCAAACATGATTGGATTGACCAACGTGGTGCACCCGACACCAATTGCCCAACCAGTGATGCCGAATCCATTACCTTGAGCTCGCATTTCCGAAGGGAATATCTCGGTGGGTATCAAAAATGCGACTACTTGTACGTCAGGATATTGGGTTAGTCAGGGTGTTGGAGCTTCTTCGGACGTACCGGTGCCCCAAGTAGCGGCATAGCATAGATTGAAGAGGGAAAGCATGAGCACCGCGGCGGGCGCAATTGATGTGGCCTCCTTTATATCATGTCTTGTGACTTCAAAAAGAGACGCGGCGATGGCGTTTACCATGAATAAAGCAAAAGCTCCCCAAATCAAACATTTCCGGCGCCCAAACCGATCAACTACTTGTGCGGAAATGATGGTCCCCACTATTCCGATAGTGTTCAGACCACCTGCAAGTCCGTTTTGGGTGACAGAAGTATAGCCAGCTTGTTTGAGAAGCTAACCGTTGTTAGTGATTACTATCTAAGAGAGATACCACACTTACAACTGGTGAATAAGCCGTCACGGCAGTAATCCCAGTCCAGGAAGCCATTATTTGAAGCCACAGACAAAGCCAAGCTCGACGACCTAGATGCGGAGCTTCCGTAGCTTTACCGATAAGAATCCTCACAAACTGGATTGGCGAGCTAGGTTTTATTCCTCTAGTTACCACACATATCTCCATGAATTCCTTCTCGACATCAGGTCCCTCCCCTCCTCTCATATGCTCCAGAACTTCTCTACCCAGCTGGTATTTTCCCAATGACGCATAATAACGAGGAGAATCTGGTAGGAATTTGATTCCGGCGAGTAGAAGAAGAGCGGGCAAACATTGAAACGCGAGGAGAAATCTCCAGCGAAAAGCAGAGTTTCCGTGGTCGATATATGCGAGGCCGAAATCGAGCCAGTATGCAATAGAGATACCTAGGTAGTTTGCAACGAAGACATAACCGAGAAAACCTCCACGGTGACTAGCGGGTGAGATTTCTGCGATATCTGAAAGGTATTTAGGTTAGTGTCATATCATTGTCGTATAAATACATCGATCAAATGTCCCGAAAGATCCCCCAGTTCAACTGTGACACTTACAAACCGGCACTGCGGCCATCAACCCGCCCGTTCCCATGCCGGTAACCACTCTAGCTCCCATGATCCAAGCGGCGTTATGTGCAGAAGACTGTAGTGTGCCACCTGCTAATGCGAGTGAGGCGGCGATACATGTGGCGTTTATCCGACCGATGTGGTCGGCGAGTTGTCCGAGGAGGAAGGCGCCAATGATAGAGCCGAGGTAGTAGATGGAGATTATTAGGCCGAGTTTATGGGGATTTGGGACTACTGGGGAGGTGGTGGAGGTTGTGGAGGGAGAATTCGTAGAATTGGTGAGATTGATGGACTTGGTTGAGGGGGAACCAATGGAAACGGTGTGAATATATGAGGGTGAGGCAGATACGCCGCCCATTACGCCTGTGGAGAGTGTATTAGTGAAGTGATGGTGAGAATTGGGATTGGGGTTGATGTCTAGAGAACTAGAGGTGAACCTTGATCGTATCCCTCGAAAAATATAGCCAGGAGAGAGAATATCTGAATCAGAATTGCCAGTTGATTGGGAGATAACCTTTTCCACAGATTCGTGTATGCCATTTTATTGGATTGATACTTATAGATTGAAGCTCTGGATGCAAATAATTCTTCGTTCCTTACTTATACTGTATTTTGTGAGGATCACATCTCACTTTATATACCTTCTCATCTCATCAACGAAAACATCAACACCAGTTTTGAAATGTGAAAAGGGTAGGGTTGTTTCTCTTCCGCTCGTTTGACCAAGGTGCCGTTAATAAGCACCGTGTTTCCCGAATCAATCGTGTATACCGCATCACAACATATTCTGGTGGAACTCCTTTTGTATTTCAAGGTTAGAGAGAAAGTCCGTATCTGGTAACTCTTTCGTTGGTGGTACACTTAGATTAGGTAGTGACTCGTGTAGAGAGAATGTAAACGGTGCTGGTGCTGGTAAGTTACTTCTATTATCATTATTCAACTAAAGAGCAATCGAGGGGATGCTCTGCCGAGTTGTCTGGTTGAAACGCTTGTTTCCGATCATGTACCATTACAATTCACACGCAAGGCGGTTTTCTCATCACTCAAGGAATAGGTTTCTTAATGATGCTGAAATAGAGAGGTTCATCCATAGAAATACTAGAGAGATTACATACAAAAAAAAAGAAAAGAAATATCAAACTTGATCACCAAAAATAAACATACTCCATATATCATATATGGACAGCATACTCACATACTCAAATACTTCAAATCACTTTTCCCGAATCTCATTATCCTCATTATCTCCTCCTTACCCCTCTTCGCTTCCTCCAATATTCACCACAACAACACAGTAGATCAAACAGCCCAACTTACAACAATTAAAAAGAGAAACCTTATATCCAAACATACAAGATACTACCACTACCTAATATCCAGCATCTCCGTTTTCGTAATTAGACACAATGATAGAGAAAAGCTCTCTTCCATCTAGTATCTACTTAAACTCAAACTCAAATTCAAATTCCCTCACAAATCCCGTACCGGTATATGAAAATAATGATAACGCCACAATGTAGTGGGATCCCGCGGGGATTATTACATCGATTGTTCCCTTGTCGTAGGTTAGGCTTTGGGTTTGAGGGGGGCGCTTACTGGAGCAGATGAGTGTGTTCTGGGTGCTGGTTGGTGAGTTGTTTACTATTGATCAAGTTGAAGATGCAATTTCCAACGAAGATTGACTGTCCGATTGTATAGTCTACTCTATCAAGCATATAATACTTGAGTAATCAAGTATCAAAAATGAATAAAATAATCTTACATTCCTCTCCAGATATCACAAACCGTAAATGAAAGATATAACTAATTTCTTTACTAAAATAGAATATCGTTTATGTATCAATACACAAGAGAAAAATATCCTAAGTATACATTTTCAGTTCTATTTATTAATAGAAGATTATCTGAAGAATATATATAGACGCTAAATAATCACTAGCAAGCTTAATATCCAATCAACTCTTTTCAATAATATAATACAAATAGATATACTCGTAGATTGACACTCAAGCGAAAATCAACACGAATCAGATATACTATAAACTATAAAACTACTCGAGTAGTGAAAGTCTAACGAATTATCAACTGAAATTAATACGACAAACAAATTTACTTTTCTACGAGTACTCTTCAACAACTTACTCATCGTGTGTATATACTTTTATCTCATACAGGCACAGTTAATCCATGGAACTCCCGGCCTTAAATAATTTTTTTAGAAACCAAAGATATAGTAAAACTATTTTCCAAAGCTCGTTTTAATACTCGTAATAGCAGAGCAGTAATGCAATAGGACAGCAGAAACTCATCATTCTATTCTATTCTATTTTCTCCAATCCCCAATTCCAAATTCCAGAAATCACCAACCACAAAAATCCATATAACGAAATCCAATGTATCTATCTATCTTATTTCATAAATCCAACTCCATGATCATCATCCGAGAAAGAAACAAAGGTTAGCCTAGAAAGATCTCATCCTATCTCATCCAATCTAATAAACTAGACCCCCAATAACAACCCCCAAACCTCTACCTACCACACTCCAACCCCTCACCCCACTTCTACTTCTCCCCGCCGCGCCAAGAAATTGCGCTGGTGAGTTATTATTGTTGTTATCTGCGAGTCCGCTCGAAAATGCATTGGTTACTGGTTGATCGGATGTACCGGTGGGAAGAGCTGGCAATGCAGAGAGAATTTCGGGAGAGTCGGGAGATTTAGTTATAGCGGGGAGGATAGCGGAGGGAAGAATGGAGGGGAGGATAGAAGGAGTGAGGATTGCGACGTTGATTGGTGGGGGGAGGATGGATGTGGGGAGTGAGGAAAGGGGGAGGAGGGTAGCGGTGCTGGATGGAGGTGTAGCGAGTTCTGATTCAGAGACGATAGAAGCTAGAGCTAGATCTAAGGGAAGCGAGCGCGAGAGTGTGCAGGGACTGTGTGAAATTTGTCGGTTTTAGTTTTTTGTTGGTTGAAGAGAGGGAGGAGGTAGTTTTAGTTTCGCTAGCGATATAATGAAAGGGGAAAAGGGAAAAGGGGAATAAAAAAGGAGAAAAAAATAGAATAGAATAGAATAGCCAAACATAAATGCACCAATCAGTAATAGTAAGAGTAAAAGCTTCAGTCACCGTATACGTAATGCCGTTCTGTTCGATTTCGGTAGCAGAAGGACAATAAGTGGTGAGCGCGGTGACAATCTCGGTTGTGTAGACTATGTGGGGAGAATTGTTGTCGTTGTTGTTATTATTGCCATTTCCATTGTTGTTGTTAGTGTTGGAATTGTTGTTTTCGTTGTCGTTGTCGTTGATGTTGATATTGGTGTTGATGTTGGTATTTTCATTTTCATTTTCATTTTCATTCTGGTTCTGGTTCTGATTCTGATTTGCGTTTGCGTTGGCATTGGTGTTGGGATTGATGTTCCCATTTTGATTTCCACTGTCGTTACCAGTTACACTTCCGCTATCGGCGAGACCAGCGTAGACGAAAGTAGAAAGGGGAAGTAAGAGGAAAGCGAGGGTGAGGATAGTGGTGGGATGATGCATTTTGAGGTTTGGAGTGGTGTTTGGATGAGAGAACTTGAGATACTGAAGGATTTATTGTTTGACTTGGAGTTTTTATCTGGAGGACACACAATCAAGTTGACAAGATTGGACTCAAACAAATAGCAATAGGAAGAATTGGTATAAGAAAAAAAAGCTTAGCTAGAGAGGCCTTCTCTTTATATGTTAACAGACTAACTCACTCCCCTCACCTCACCTCTTCGGGCATAGGAAAGCATCTAGACTCAACTTCCCAAAAACAAGCATTACGGCTTCCGCGTATCTGATCTCCTATCACGTCGCTCAAAAGCTTGTTTATCATTATTTATAGCATATCATAGCATTGGAATGTGGAAGCACAGCCTTAGCCCAAGTACGGTGTTCACAGTTCACGATGTGTTTAAGGCGGGAGAAATGTGCTTATCGTGTGATACATACACATTCCAAAGTTTCCTGATCTCTTGGTATGTGGTTTCATGTCCGGGAATAGGATAGTCGTATGGGACGATAATGATGTGCGCCACTGGATCATTTACTTACCCTTCGCCTCGGAATATAGCGAGGAGAGATTGGGGGGTCGGGACCGAAGCGATGATCATACATAGCATCTCGAAATGAGATGACGAGTTATACGAAGGATGGCGACTACTAGACTCCTAGTTCAAACTTCAATACGAAGTTGACATTCTCAAGAACGTAAGTTAAAACATAAACCACTTTTAGAAGGAAAATGGGTAGAAAATGGGTTTCTCGTCAACCTAGTACGAGTAATGGACTTGACGAATGAAGTTTAGACTGCACCCTACAGTTATTAGCGCAGGAAAATAATATGTGATATATCCACTTATCTTAAGTTTCCCACTTGGGCATAAGAACCAGTGTGGGAACCTATTTCTCCCCCGTTAAACTCATCCTTACACACACATATACACACACACACACACACCTCATCACCCAAAGGCACAACATATTAAATCTTAAACTCATATCCCATATTCAAGGCTTATTATTCCGAAATAGCTATTAACGTCCATAGTACTTCATACTTCGTCAAAAAAACTCCAAATCATCCTAAATTGCCCATCTGATGTATTCGAGCTGATCACACAAGTAAATGAGAATGATAAAGTCATTAATTCCAGCCCAGCAAGACAAACTAAGGCATCTTTTTCACATTTCCAACACAAAATACGCTAACGCTGATATGTAATACATGTTGTGGCGGTCGTCGTGTAAAACGATATGTTTCAAACCTTTCTTAAGCTTTCCTTCTCAAATATTCAATTTCGACGTGTCGTGTCGTGTCGTGTTGTGTTTAACAATTGGTATAATATTAAATATCGCTTCTTAATTTCGAATTCCCAGAAATCGGCCGTAAAGTTCGTAGATTCATCTCGAAAGCAAAAACAACCAAAGTTCATCCATACCATCCACATCATCAATCCTCCTCCTCCCCCTCAATCTTTCCCTCCTCTTTCTGAACCTGACCCTCCTCCTTCTTCACCCCCCCCCTCCACAACCTTCTCATCCCCCTCCACAGCCTCCCCCTCTTCCCCCCCAATCTTCGGCAACTTAAACCAAGGCCCATGAGCCGCCCCCGTCCCCATCCCAGCCAACAACCCCAACCCCGTCGTCGGCACACTCGCCACACCACCAACAACCGTCCCCACCACCGTCCCCAAACCCAACCCGATTCCCGCTCCAATCCCCGCTCCTCCAGCCCCACCCTGCCACACACCACTCTGTAATCTCTGCGCAAGCTTCAGCTCCGAATTTGCCCTATTCTCAAATTTCTTCGCTTCTTCAATCAGCTTTGCTTTTTGCTCTTGCGCTTCTTCAGAATCGGGGAGAGATGATGCTTTTTCGCGGGCCAATGATGCTTGTTCTGTGGCTTCTTGCGCGGCTTTTATTTTCTCATTGATTTGGGAGAGTACTTTTTCTTGGGTGCTGGGACGCCCCTCGGCGTCTTTGGGTTGAAATTCGAGTTTCTCGGTCATGCTGGATTTGAGTGATTGAAACATATTAAACGTTGGATCGACGAAACAGTAGAGCCAAATGGTCCTTAGATAGTGTTATTTTAATGTTGTTTAGTGTTATTAAGATGCGGAATATGTGACGAAGAATAACGCGATGATGGAGCTTGAGCTCAAGCAGGATATAAAGTGTGGGGTAGCAAGCGTGACATGACGTCGTTTGGTAGGGGCAGCACTTGCAGCCCTACTACAATTACAGGCTTTAGAGCTCATTCAACAAGTTATAATTTCAGCCACACCAAAATACCTAAAAGTTGAAATGTCAGCTCGCCGGGGATGAAGGGGACCACCGGGAGCAATTGCATCACCTCGAGTATTCCGTATCAAACTTGTTAAACACAGTGATTAAGTAAGCATATACTATAGAAAATTGAAGTACAGATCCACAGCACACTGAAGACTCCGTATGAGACCCCTTCATATTCACTCCAATGGATCTCGACCACCTCTGGCTTCGATTTCTTGATCATAAGTGTCATCCTCCTCCAATTCGAATGGTCCGGGCTGCGTGATTGGAAAGAATGGTACGCCCATTTTCTCATACATTTGCAATGTCGCTGCGGTCTTTGATCTCGTTTTATTGATGCTAAAGACCTTGATCCGGTGACAAGAGGAAGTTACGTGAAGATCCCAATTCCTATCACATGTTAGTCACTATTTTTTACAGGAAGGAAGGGAAAACATACCATGTAGATCTCACAAATGTTGGCTGCGTATTCATTGAATTGTCCCAGCACCTCACGACTAACTCCAACCACCCTTCCGCATCAACCGGTAGATCGATTTCCCACAATCTCCACGCATGATAGTACTTCTCACTCAAATTCTCATACGGAACTTCATACCAAATATTTCCTCCATCCCCACTAACCTCCACCCTCACCGGCCAATGTCCTCCCCCACTATACGCCCATCCTCTCATCTTTATTGTGCCCGAATGCGCTATCTGATCCATATTCACTGGACTCATGATTGCCGAGCTTACTGGCATATCTTGGATACTAAACCCAGAACTATAAGCTGCATTATGTTTCCCGACCTGGGAATTGTAATACAGATACTCCTTTTTCTGTACCGGACCGAAAGATTCGTGAGGAAGAACGTTAATTCTGGTAAGCCATTTACAGGAACGAGCTCCGATATACCCAAACACCACGGCGCGCAAGGGGTAGCCGTGAATTTTAGGCAGGGGTTCTCCATTCATTTCCCAAGCGAGAAGAACCTCGTGGATTTTCACTTTGCGCCAGGGAACGGAGACGGCGTAATTGTATGCTCCCCCTTTTTTGAAGTAGGTATCTGCACCTAAAAACTCGACATGGTTGGCTCCAGATGGATCTTTGAGACCGCCGCAGTATTTGATGACCTTTTTGAGGGATACACCGGTCCATCGTGCGGTTCCAATGGCTCCTTCGCCCCACTATGTTTCTGTCAGTATACATATACGGTATGCCGAGTCAGAAGTTATTACGTACGGGTGCATTGATAAGTTCATCTCCATCACCCGGATATTTGCTAATTTGCTCAATTCTTCTAGTTCCCGCGCATTGGATAGTGACAACGTTACTCTGTCTCGGAAAGATAGTTTCATCCTTTAGATTTTTCAGGGTGATACGTTTTGGATTATTGACCAAACCGCCAACATCGAAGAAATAGGCATCTTCATCAATTTCAGGAATTCCACCATGATTTCGAACGAAATGATCTTCATTGCGAGTTATAGCCGTTTCGACGAGTCGATTCTACCTCCATTGTTAATTCAATCATCTCCAGTTTCTTAGAAGTAAAGGAACATACTCGAGGAGGTTCTCCATTGTAAGGAAATTGCAAGACATGAAGCATATCAGGAGACTTTTCCTTCTCGACAAATAGCCAACTTTCTGCTGGCATATCTTTCATTTTCCTACCCAATGCATAATGATATTGTTTCCATCTCACGCCTTCTAGCACCGGATTTGTTTTTGGTAAAGGAACCAATTGAAATTCTGGTGCCTAAATCATTAGGTGATCAGCATTTGACTCTCTTCGAGGAATTGTTATTGAGCCCATACGGGAGGAAATTTGAATTTCTTCATGAATTCCTTCGCCTTTTGTTTTCGTTCAGGATATTTCTCCCATTCGATATATCCGTGCCAGCCATCGAGCTCTTCCTCTAGACCTAATTCATATGGATCTGGTAATTCATCTTTGGACCGAATCTGAAGATCCGGGTGCAGGATACTTGGACGTCTAGCATCACTTCTGTTAATTGCGCCATTTGTGCCACTTGCATGATGGACATCTGATTCCGCTTCTGTCATTGTGTTCTAGATTTTTCAGAAATCAATTGAATTTCTTGAGCTCAATCTTTTGATTTAGAATGGTATTTGAGAGGTATTGAATGGCGATGATAAGGAAGTGCGAATAATATTCTACCCCTCTCAGCCCAGCCCATTGTGTAACAAGATTATGCAGAACTTATGTATTCATGGCTGGAACAAGGAAATCTAGCGACGTCATGAGTTTGATAAAGATAAAATAGAAAGTTATGGGGTCTGATGGTTGTATGCTTGTAGCCGAGAACTACCGGCGAGGCTTTTCCGAAAACAATTAATTTGTTGATTTTCCACAGGCATTGATTGGTTGGTCCAATTCTTACCAATGAATTAAAAAGGTAACAGATCAATATGGCAATATCAAATGGATTGATTAATTGACATTGCGCAAGCTTTAATACCGAATCAACAGCCGGCAGACTCTAGAACTAAAATAGACTTTTGCAAGTGATGGTGGGCCGATTAGCACACACCTCCGAACTTTATGCCAACTTCCAAATTCTCCAGATCAAGCCAGAGAATGAACTTGTTTGTGCCTGTAATCCCCAAAAGGAGATCCCCGTGTTTGGCCGAGTTATCAACTATAAGACGCACTATAAATTGCGATAATATATAGTATAAGGCTTGTCTTCTGCTTGGGAGCAAGCAAATCAGGGGTCTGGTCCCTCGGAATAGTGCCCCGAAAGTTTTTCACTCAACTTGTCCAACCTTATAAACATATTTAACTCCCCTAGCCTGCCCCCCTTGTAAACGTCTTAGACCTTCTTCTACTCCGTTTAAGCCTTCATCGATAATCTCAAAGGGATGTCCAGTAAGTCTGCCGTCTGCTAACATCTGAGACATGTACTTGAAGAACACAGACACCCACCGAGGGTCACCTCTCACAAACTCTTTATCAGTTGGTTGCTTGACCATGCCTGGCTTATACGCGCCCATGTGTGCGGTACCTACCATGGTGTATACTATTTCAATCCCCGCTTGAATTGATTCTTCGTCGTATTTATTGGAACCCGCGACAACCGATAGGTATGACGGTGATTGGGAGGAGAACGACGGGGCCAGCATATGGGAGATCGGGATCCATGTACCATTCGAGCTGATGGCATCAAGAGCATGATGACACTCCAAATTTCCCAAGGCAATTTTGGTGGCTTTGATCATCTTTTCGGTGCCCAAACGATAATCAATTAGTTTGTCACCGGAAGACGGATCAAGGAGGGTTTCCAAGTGTGAAGAACTCCCTCCTGCGATGGCAATGATTGGGTGGATGTTGGAAGCGCGAGCTAATTTGATTGCGAAAGTACCAAGGGAGGAAGATGCACCGTAGATGATGAGCGGAATAGGAATGCTATCAGAGCGCGGTGACCATGGAGGTGGCAGATGCTGACGGCGATATAGAGAAATCGCCGCGGTTGTAGCAACTAGAGGAATCGTCGCAGCTTCTGAGAAATCTTAATATTGCCCCTAGTTTTCGACTAGATACTGACCTTCAAAGGTCATTGCGTCTGGAAGCTTCATTATAGTATGCATTGGTGCAACAGCGAATTCGGCATAAGCTCCATGAGGTTCCAGCATTGGATGAAATGCAGCAACACGGTCTTCAAGATGAAATTCATTCTTGGAACACACATTCTTACCAAGGGAATGAATAATACCAGCGATATCGTCCCCACTATTAAGAGATTTGTTCAAAGCCTTGAGGTGGAGCCAGTCTAGAGGAGAATCGGCTAAGCTACTTATTGAGAGTATATTGCGGAGTAATTGTGCTGACCTTTGACATTGCTCCCAGCAACAATAACTTTGATAACTACCTCGTCCGGTCCAGGTTGTGGAATTGCGGCTTCAACAATCTCAGTCCAGATGTCAGGACTTGGATGGACAATAACTTCCTTCATGCTTCAGGTAATGTTATAGGCAAAAAATTCCTTTTGAACACCTTTAGACTCAGTATGTGAGGTCAATCAAAGAAGACATATGAGCTGAAGTTGCGATGTTGGTTTTGTCAGCCACTGTATGTAAGGTAAGCACATATCGAAGTTTTGTGCACCCTCAAACGCATTATTGTGTCAAGGGAAAAGTATAAGAGATGACGATTCGTTGACGATGCTTAATATGAGACTCTGGGCATGATATTTACTTCCTAAATATACATTGTTATATCGAGGTCCAATCAAAATGATAAGTAACGTGCCTCAAGCTTTGCCCACCTACCTTGGTGAATCGAGTCTTTATGGATCCGGACTGGCAGACCTTGTCTTCCGAATAGAGTTGGTAAAAACGAGCGACTCTTTTATTGTATCCCGACCTCTGATGAGAACCAAAAAATCCCGAGCTCGAAGATTTTACAGCATTGCTTTCGAGGATCTCTAGAGCAGACAAATGACTTTTGCTTGATTGCGAGGTTGGGAACCCATTTATTCCATTGCTGGTTTTAATTCTGGCTAACTCTCCAGAACTGAATTTTGCTTTGTATACTTCGGAAAACCTGTTGATGAAAATTTTCAAGAGATTCTTCGCTGTAAGAAAAAAAAAGCGTTACGGTTCTGGCATTGTGAGACAATCTGTTTGGTGTTGATGAAGGTCAGGCTAGTGTCTTGCTTATGTAAGCCAATTTTTATAAAATTTGATTGATTTCCAACTTCCACGAAAAACTATAATAATACTACCTACCTATACGAGTACTACTACTATACATCATTCGACGCTCTAATAGTTTTAAAGTTTTGAGGTTTTACAATGTGCTAGAGCTAGAGCACACGGAGTATCAATTTCCAACTAATACTGATACTCGAGTAATGTCGATACTGTTCTGGGGCAACTCACCTGATTCTCAGATTCTCATTCCAAACGAACGGACTTATCATTGCTCTAAAGGGGAATGCTTGCTTACGCTACAGCTACACCGTACCTTCATCCATTATTATTATTTTCGGTGTTTCGAATCAATAAAACACTGTTGTGCCTCACTAAACTCATCTGATGCAAGATTCATTACTCGAGTGTATTTGAATGGGACAGTGGACACACGTGTGCATGAGTGTAGCTTGACAGAAGTTACAGAACTCAATGTCGTTTCCGTGTGTTTTCTAGACTGACTTTTGAGTTTGGCAACAACCAGTCGCGCATTAGGTTCTGCGGCATCATCCGCTAGAGCTGGTTCTTTTTCCCCCAAATAAGCTTAAAGCACAGTCGGTGGAGAACTCGAGAGGGGATGGGGCGATGGAGCAGCTCCATTTTTCCGCCATGGAAGTAACAAGAACCTCAAGATTGTGTGAATCGTTTAGTTGCGCATTCTACTTTGTACCGTGTATTGTTTGCACTGCCACCCTCAGTATCTTGACAGACTTAAATTCACATCGTTTTCATCTTTTCTGGAATGATCTTGGCATTACACAATTCTATGTTCTTCTTCCGCTTTCAATATCTATCACGTCGTCTGTGGCAATGTCACGACTTATTTCGTATTTTTTGAGTCGCAAAGGCGACGGCGAGGACCAATCGAACACTTGAGCTTCAAGATTCCATCTGCCTTATTATCATCTAACATGCATTGGAACAGCTTCGGCCCTCAGTTTGAGATACTTGGGTATAAAAAATCGTTGCCAAGACGGACGGAAAAATACGGCTCGCATGAATCTTTTGTCATTTGATGCTGGGATAACGTACTCTTAAGAGATGTATCTGTTGTCGTCGGAGTAGTCCTCTGACGCTGAAAGTTCGATTGAATCTCCAGATCTTCATTTGATCCATGGACCTGGAGCAGACGTCTTCAAATCTATCCATGGGTATAGCGAATTTAGCAGTGTTTTCCAACGATTTGATTTGGCAAGTAAGGCTGCCAAATGAATCTGGAGGCCGTTTTGCACCCGACATATTAAAATTCGCATTATTATTGGAACGAAGGACTTGTTGTTTGTGACTATTACAAGATTCACCCATTGATCAAGTGTCTTTCGAACAAACTACTCGGCGTATCCCTTTCCTGCAAGGATTCACATTCATCCATACACTTTCACACAACTTGCTAGATTTACAAAGCCATTACTGCACATTTATTAAACGCCGCAAATATAGCGTCACGAAATGGGGTTTCCCACATCAATGATGTGTACTCGACGTTACTAAGTATACCCCTCCTTGCGAATACGGTCATGATTTAGAGGCTCGAAGGCTGTGCCCGCTGTCTTCGGTCAGTGTTACTCCGGGTCCATAGATTCCCTTTGACATCTGAAGATTGCCGACATGTTAGCGTATCATTGAGAGGCGCTTTGGCGCAAATTTCCAGAATGGTTCATATACTCGAGTATTTGTGTGGTATACCCCTGTCATTTGGTTTACGTGAGCTGTGGTATTCTGGATGGTTGCTTCGAATGTGTTGTCGATCTTATATTTTTGAGCAAGTTGAATAATTGCTTCTTATCCTTTCGGTAGTTCACTTAAGCATTAGTTTACCAAGACAACAAGGTTATGAACCACTATTGTGGATCATCTTCTGTAGTGCGGCACCCCGGGTTCCAGACGGCTTTAACAAGTTCCGGGGCCAGTTCTATAATACAATCATTTGTTCAATTTTATTTATCGGTCATTCTGGTGACAGCTCTTCATCAAATTGACTTCAATCATTCAATGAACTTGCTCATGTTTGAAAGGTACTCGAGTACATCTTCTGATACACAATAAGGTTGCGGGAGTCAATGCGTAGAGTCATTAAGTCAACGGGGATAACCCTTGGTGCATTGTCACCGAAGTTACCTACGCCGATCTTGACTAGGTTTAGGGCTACTTTCGATATCAATTTTTCCGTTATGTTCCCTTGACTAATCTGCTCTTTGTTATTTTAATGAATGGTATCAATTTACATTAGATTCATTCTTTTAGATTCAAAATAAATGACAAAAAGAGAGCACATTAGTTGATAGAAAATCCCAGAATCTGTGGCGGAGAATAACATCCAAAGTAGCCCTTACCTTTTTGGTTTGTTTCATCACCCGGCTCCGAATCGTGTTCGCTTCACATCTGGGCATGCGAAGTTCTTGGCGTTTCTATCTTTTTGATATCAAAATTTTAATACCATTGAAACCAACCCCTCATCACGTTTCTCCTGTAATATGAGGCTTCGTAAAATCCTCATAACACTAGCGTTTTGGATGTGACATGCCAGCTTCTAAATTAATATATCTTCCAAGAAACTGTTGGTAATACAATGACTATCTTTCACTGCCAAGTGCGTCTCGATACTTCAGGTATACCCGATCGTAGTACTCCGTCATCTGATATAAGCTCCACGCATCTTATCTGATTCTACGTTCTTGTCCTTCTCCAAGCTGGCTTCAACTTGTTCATTCTCCATATCATCCCGTCTCTTGAATTTTAGTTTGATTTATGCGAACTGTCGTTGCTCTCGAACATATACTATAGTCAAAATGTCTTCTTTATCAGGTTGGCAAAAGTTCAAGGACTCCATCTCACCCATTAAACAACCAATCCGAGCCGCCGCCATATCCCAGACTTCCCACCCTACATCCAAGGGAGTCGCGGGACGATCTTCTTCATCAAATGGGAAGAGAGAGCCAATCATAATCACAACTAAAGATATCAGCTCAAAACCAAGGAGGAACACGCTGGATATCGTCACGAAAGCCGCTGGTTCAAATTGGGTGTTTGTGGGGATGATGGCTATTATGCTTGTTTGGGTCATATTCGGTTTCATTGACGGCGCGACCGATACCTGGCAAATTGTCATGCAAAACGCCTCCTCCATCCAAGTCTATCTCACAGACATCCTCCTCCTCAGACAAGCATCCAATGCCTCAAAATCCCTCCTAACTACCCTCGCAGAACTTCAGTCCCGTAATCAAACTTGTGAACGCCTTCTCCGACAACTCCCCAGTTGCCAATGGACGGAAACCCACAAGGATCCTGCTCGGAAATTGCTTCAAGACGCCAAACCTGTTGAATCTAACCCCGATGACATTCTGCTCATGGGTGGCGTTGGAAAACCCTCTAAAGTCCGTCACGCCTGGAATAGAACTTGCAAAACCGTTGCTGGAGGCCTTGGTTCTATTTGGGCATACATTTTCTATTGGATAGGTATATTTTTCTGGGTTGGCATTGGACCTCATTTTCAATTTAGCAATACTTGGCAATTGTACGTCAATACGGCTACTGCTGTTGCCTTGACGTTTACTTCTGTCTTCTTGCAGAACATTCAACAACAACAAGAGGATAATCTAGAGAAGTGTCTTGAATACGCATTAAAGGTCGATGCTGAGGTCGAGTGGCGATTGAGAGAAATCACAAATGACTACCAACCTAACCCAGTCTTTGAGATACCAGCTCCCATCATCGGGCGGATTGATAGATCGATTGATGTCTTTGCCGATATTGTGGGTTCAGGGGTTGGGTTGTTGATTACCTTGATCGTGATTATTGCATGGGCAGCCGTCGGTCCCGTCCTTCAGTTTAACGATAACTGGTGGTTAATCATCGGTACCTTTACAGGTCTCGTCGGATTTGTCGACGGATTCGTACTTCGAAATGTCTATCATCGCGACGAGAAAGTTGCAGAGGTACAATTCGAAGAAATGGCTGAAAGTGATGATCGATTGTTGGATCTACTCAACATCCCCGCCCCATACCAAGCACCCTCCAAGCCAAGAAATTGTGGTACCAGAGCTTCTACCACAGCAGGATATTGGTGCGCGTTGTCAAGTGTTAGTGTTGGATCTGTCGGTGTTGTATTTGCATTACTTGTCATTGCGTCTATAATGAAATGGTCCGAGACTGGTCAACTTTTGTGTAATACTCCCACTATGGTAAGTTTAATTCCCGTCTTTGAACTAGTTTCTTTTCGTCCCAACATATTAACACCCACACCCAGATCGTCGAAGGCTTCCTCCTCCTAATCCTCATCCAAGCCCACAACATCGCCAATATCGCGCGCGGCGCAGATTTTCAGTCTCTCCTCAAACATCGTCTCCTCCTAAACCAATACGTCTGCGGATTATCGGAGGATTCCTCCTCTCAATATTCAAACAACCCAGATGAAAAAGATGCCGTCAGTGTCAACGTTGATTATATTGAGAAAAATGAAGATATAGAGATATCTACTCATCAGATCGAGGATCGTGTTTGAGTTTATGGATATACCTTTTTGGTATAACTTACAAGTTATACCAATTGTCTTTCTATTTCTGTTTAGCCTAGCTTTCGGGTCGGATTCGATGACGAGGGAATATGCGATTCGTCTGCAGACTATATATATATATGTATGTCTCTATACTATGCCCAAATCAAATTGTGTTATATTTTCCATTCATTTATTGATATTTATTTCCATCTCCATATCCTTTTCTTACGGCTTGCTTCACTTGTATCTCTCTCTCTCTCTCCTCCCCCCCTCTCGATATATCTATCATCATCATCATCCTCACAACCACGACACAATATTCTATGTACCATACCACCAACCACAACAAACCATCTCAAGGAAACAAGATGAAGCAACGTCCCACACACACCACTCCACACACTTCAACACCAAACACGAAACCTAAAAGTCATCAGACAATACAAATGCACTACACCGCACTACACCAAAGACGAGAAATAAACCGAGTAAAAGTTCAAATCAATCAGGAAAGAAAACTCAATTCGGGTCAAAAGTAAAAAGTAACGAATGAACGTGAAGGGAGTATCTATGAAACAAAACCAAAACAAACCCAAAATAAACCCAAAACCCCCATTTCGCAATGTCACCTCAACCCAACTCAGGACTCAGCACCCCCCATTTATCTCTCAATCATTCCCTCTCCAGTCCCCCCCTCACCAGAACCATCATGCAATACTCCAATACTCCAATCCCCACATCCACCCCCATCAACCTAATGAACACTCAACCTCGCCCGATGCCAAACCCCCGCCCTCCTACTCCCCACCGCCGCCATCACTCCCCCACCATACCCAGCCCTCGCACCCCCCACCCCCGTCTCAATCCTCCTATACGTATACCCCAGAAACGCGCCCTTCTTCCTCAACTCCAGAATCTTGGGCGCGATCTCTTTATCCCTCAGCAGACGATCCCTTGGACGCTTCCGTTCCTTTCTCCCAAACGTCTTGACAAACGTCTTGAGATATTCTTTTTCCTCATCGCGCATGACGAATTGATCAATTTCCTTCTCCACCCTCTTCAACTTGACGGAATCGTGAGGACGCTCGATGAATCCCGTAGCTATGATTTGAATCTCGCGATTGAAGGGCTGGAGCGCATCGGCAATCTGTTGCACCGTGGGCGTTATCGCCGTGACCGATTCGGAAAAATCGGATATGGGTTCTTCCTCGTCGAAATAATGCGTGTCGTCCATAGACTTGATGTTGGGGATAAAAGGCGGAGGCATCAGGTTGATGCGATCCCATTGAATGTCGCGAAACCATTTATGTGCCTTGATGTCCTCCGCATCGTTGGGATATACATAACGACCGGCATAATCTAGATTTCGCCGAGAGGACATGGAGCCAAGTGTCGTGTCGCGGGATTTGTAGCGTCGACTGCACAAGCGATGGTCTTTTTCTTGGATGATACTTCGGATGAGGTCTTGGCATCTTCTGCTGGCGGATGGGCGTGAGGGAAATTGGAAAGTGGTTTTGTGGTTCAGGATGTTCATCTTCGTTTGTTGTCTGCCGCCTTCTTCGGCAAGAAAGGGGGTATGGCCATAGAGACACTACAAATGCGTTAGTGACAACTTATCAAAATCTTCAGGTTGCTAACTCACCTCATAGAGAATAACAGCAACACTCCACCAATCACATCTGGCATCATACATCTCTCCTCTCACCACTTCCGGTGCCATATACTGACTAGTACCAACCACCGAGCGTGCAAGCGTTCTGTTGCCAAAACGATTGCGCCAATTAAGAATACTCTCCGAAGCCGATGCATTATCCGAATTCTTTTCATGACGTTCTTTTCCGCCCATCATAACATGGGCAATCTTCATAGCAGCAGCAACGCTTCTCCCTTCCTTCCTATCGAGAGTATCTCCCTCAACAGTGATACCAAGTTTATTGAGAAGCGAGTATCGATGATTGTGAAAGTAAGCTTGATCGTGAGACCAATGGCCATCAAAAGCCAAACCGAAGTCGGATATCTTGAGATGACCGGATGCCGAAATCAGGAAGTTGTCTGGTTTGATATCACGATGAATCCACCGAAGAGCATGCGCTTCTTCGATACATAAGATCATTTCGGCAATATACCATTTGGTGACCGATTCGGAGAGAACATTATCGCGAATGAGTAGGCCGAGAAAGTCACCTCCAGGCATGTAATCCATTACGAGATACAGATTGTTAAGATCTTGGAAGCTGGCAATCAGAGGCACAACCCTGTTCACGTCAATTAGCATATTCGATAAAGCGACGATTGTCCACAACTCACCATCTAGATCCCTCGGCGGCGACAAGAAAGTCACGCTCAGCTCGTAAATGACCCTCTTGACTATTTCGGAGCATATCTGATTTCCTGATAACCTTCATGGCATAGATACTCTTGCTTGGCTCCGATCTGTCGTTTCCCAATCAATTTATTTCACTTACAAAATAACGAGAATAGGAAAACTAACTCATGAGTACCCGGTGCCCACTTCTCTCTAACAAGCCGAACAACCCCGAAGCTGCCCTTTCCAAGTACTTTGACCACCTCATAATTCGAAGGTTTATGATCTCTACCTTTCAAAGCATTGGTACTACGCACCTTCATATTTCGTGTCTGTCGAAGATGATTGGTCTCTGCTGTTGCCAGAGCTTGACGTCTTTCGGCCTTGTCCGATGGAGAAGATGACATATCATTCAAGAGCTCATTTTCAAGATTCAAGCGTCGAAGGGATCGAGGCTTTACTGTCTTGGCAGTGACATCGTTGTAGTAGGTTTCGAAGAAAACCTTAGCAGATGCTGCTTTCTCGACGGTAATTACAGCTGGAAGTTATCAGTTTTGATTGTATCAAGGAGATGATTGGCACGAAGAACCTACTTGGAACTGGCTGTGGACATTCAACATTATCATTTTCAGTGATTGGCTTAAGAAGACCATCAGCAGAGCATCCCTCTGCTTGATTCATAGTCTTTGGCGGAACCTTTTTATTCTCAGACGAATGCTGAGAGATGCCAGCAGATTTCTGAGAAAACTTAGACTCAAGAGAAGTCTTTTGAGTGGACTGTTGAGCATCAGGACCGGATGATTTTCCACTGTTGCTCGTGGACTCGGCACTTGATGGAGAGATAGGAGCATCCGGCATAAATTCCAAAACGCCTTTATCGATTGATATCACACTGAGTCGACTCTTGAATTGTGTGCGGTGAACGATCGTGGGTGGAGCTTTGAGCAAAGCCATGGAGATTTTCTTGCCCAGAGCGACGGCCTCGGGGGGAGGTGACAACGGTGCATAATCAGGTTCTGCAACACTCGAACCTAAAAGGTCAGCATCGATAGTTAGGATTTGTTAGGTCTTGATTGGAGATAAACAGAGAGGAGATATACTTACTACTATTGGTTAACGTACGCAAAACTGACAGTAGTTTTGATCCTTGGCGTCGAAACTTTGATGGCCTGTGAATGGGATTCGTGGGAGAATCCGGAGGGGAGATTGAATCCAACGGAATAATAGTTTCGAGAAAAATAGGTTTCCTCAATTGAGGCAAACCGCCCTGGTCTGCGGCGTTGGGATCGAGTCCAGGCCCATTGCGTGTTCTCTTCATTGTCGATGATCCCTTCGAGGGTTAGACAATGATTATCAATACTAGAGTAAGAATGAAGCTGGTAAACAGCATGCAAATGATTGACGAAGAATGTTGATGCTGATGCAGGTATAAGAATGAGAGAGAAGTAAAACTTTTATTTGTGTTTCGCTATGGGCGTTCCTGCCTATATCAACATTCTCGTTGGACACTGAATGGAAGGAATCACTGTCAAAGATAATTGAGAAAGAAGAACATTTCATTTAGGTATAGTAGTAGTCTTTGTATATTATGAGATAACCGATTAAAGCAAGTTCCCCTGTGTAAAAACCTAATTGACCTTTTGGAAATACGCCTGTAGTGCTATGCAAACCTCCTCATCCCATTTTGCGTCATCTGCTTCCTTTAAGACAGAGAACTGCTCAGGTCGGAGACTTATGCAAAAACAATACGTTGCTACTTGATAGTTCATGTAGACATCATGAACTCGCAAGCGGCAAAGAGATACATGAAAGTAAAGAGAAAATTGTACAATGGATATGAAAAGCAAAGTGACTATCAGCCTCGAGACATTGCAAAACCATCAAGTAAACACAATGAGATGATCGAGGCTTGCTCATACAAAGGACAATGACGTTTACTTGATCTCAAGGAGCTTGACATCAAAGGTCAAAGTGGAGTTACCTGGAATACCAGGGACGCCCTTGCTGCCGTATGCGAGATGTGCGGGGATTGTCAATCTTCGCTCTCCACCGGCTGACATGCCAGCAACACCGATGTCCCAACCCTTAATGACCTCGCCGGCACCAAGTTTGAAGGAGAATGGCTTGCCTTTCTTGTTTGCTAAATTTCATAAATTAGAGAGCTTCTGATACTGGAGAATGTATGCACTTACAGTCAAAGACCTTTCCATCTGTGAACTTTCCAATGTAGCGCATGCCAACTCTGTTACCTTTCTTGGCGACTGGACCGGAACCAAGCTTTTTATCATCAAGCTTTACTCCGTCAACAGTTCTGATACCTAATGCAGTCTTCTTGGCATCAACCTTAGGTGCGTCAGATCCGGTAGGTCCTTGCTCGAGGTTCTTGGCGAACTGAACTTTCTTATCAGCCTTATCATCCTTAGCTGCGTCCTTCTTGGCGTCCTCTGCCTTGGCAGGGGCAGCCTCGCCATTGTTCTTCTTCAACTTCTTCTGTTGCTTCTTGCTAAGCTTTGGCTCCTCAGCAGCGGATTCCTTAGCGATGATAGCATCAAGAGACGCAGCCTCCTCAATTTGATCGGCGGCGCGCTTGTTCTTGCCCTTCTTATCGGCCTTGACAAGCTTTGGGGCTTTCTCTTCTTCAGAGTCAACCTCGGTGACGCGTGCACCGTCAAGCTCGTCGCTTCCATCTGATTCCATCTCTAGCTCATCCTCATCTGGAGAGAGATCATAGTCCTCATCATCTTCTTCATCAGAATCGTAAACCTCGTGGTGATGGTTGTGTCCTTGATCATCTGGGACCACGTAGTTACCAGTAAGAAAGATCTTGTGGGTACCGGTAACCTTGAAGAAGACGGTCTCGTCCTCACCAATGGTGATGTCGAGAGGTTGTTGGTAGTGCTATATTACGATTAGAACAATTTTATTGTATGCGCAGGATTGAAAACATACGTTTTCTGGGTCAAGAGTGCAAAGAACATATTCCTCAATCTCAATCTCTTCACCATCGTCACTCCCACCTTCGCTCTCATCATCTTCTTCTTCTTCTTCAACGACGGCGGCCTTTGCCTTTCCTTTCTTGGCGACCTTCTTGACAGAAACGTCCTCCATTTCATCGTCGGAATCGTCTTTGCCAATGGCAGCGAGGAGCTCCTGAAGAGCAGCTTCCTTTTGGGCCTTTCTGGACTTAGAAGGATCGCTTGGTCCACCGTTGGTCTCTTCGTCATCTTCACTATCCTCATCTAAACCAGAGTTATCATCTGCCAACAAAGCTTGTAATAAATCATCCAAACCTTCATCATCTTCGCTATCCTCATCTTCAGCGCTTGATTGGCGAATGATCTTCAAAGTTGATCGAGACTTGACACCGGCCTTAACATCACCGGTAACTTCAGTTGGATCAATTGCTGCCATGGTGATACGGAACTAAACATTGAGATATTAACATCTATTTTCCAATGAAACATGCATGGCAGAACAGCAACATTAGAATAGTATAAACAGGCTGTAACTTACAGTAGCTGGGAAATCTGGAACAGCAGGAATGATCATATCTCCTGCTGGGACCTCGAGGCCATACATAGCGACTATGGCGCAAATCAGATAAATACTTTCGCAACAAACACAACAAGGCAGACGAGCTGACTTCTGACTTCTACTCACCTGGAAGAAGAGGCATTTTGTAAGGAATCAATTTAATGGTTCAAATGACTTATTGTAATTGAAGGAAGAGGAAGAAAAATACTGTTCAAAATTAAACAGTAAATAGAAATTTTGGTATGTTGAAGAGATTTCAGAAAGAGATGATGGAGGTGGAGCGGTGTCTTTCCTTATTTAAAAAGCAGTTTTGAAGAAAAGATACCCGATAACTTTTTTTTTCTCATCTGCGGCACACTAAGATAGCTTATCCGTCGACACTAGTGTTAATTAAGATCCACTAGGCGACATATATCACGTGTTTATTTATAGTTTAATACAAGGAGATGTTTTGATTGGTTGATTAACGTGTATAAGGTTCATTTCCCACTGCACTAGAATCTTATAGTTCTCCACTTTGAGATCTACAACAGAAGTCGCCAGAAGCCTCGAGGTGTATCGACTCTATCGAGAAAGCTACTTAGGTACTCCAACAGTCCATCTAGATGTTCATTATGATTGGAAGTTAGAGATGGTGCCGTGTAGTATTTGGTGGCCATCCCTCAGGGCTCAAGCTAGGGTCAGTCCCCTTGCGCAACGATATTCGATATTTGTGCGTTTGCCGATGTTAATTGGGAATGCGACGGCTGGCCAGAGGGGTCATCGAGGGACTCTTGGCTCTAAATTTTGATCTTGAGAGATAAACATCAATATCTCAAAGTCATCAGTCGAAGATAGGTTAGCCCAGGCGCATAACTCCACGTGCATGGGATGACAGGAAGTTGGGTTTGATAGTTTTGATGATTTGTCTTTGTTACATTGTTGGCGAACTGAAGAATCCCGAGGTAAGAAGAAACGGGAAACGGGAAATGAGAAATGGGAGAAAAGAGAGAGGAGAGGGAAAAAGGAAAGAGAGAAACGTATGAGCAAACGGAATAGATATCGTGGCCATATGGTTGGTAATCGTTGCATTTAGAGTTTGGAATTTCGGTATAACTTGCTGGTTACATCTGTACCATGTAGACAGAAGATTCTGTTTTATTGGTACTAGTAAGGTATAGATAGATATGTAAAGTGCTTTCCTGTATATCTCTTATACTGTATATAATCATGGGCTTATCGCATGGTCTACGTAGCAGGTAGATCAAAACGATTATGAATTTACTACTACTCCTATGTAAAGTGAGACAAAGGTAAAAGTAATCCGATATACAACGTTAACCCAATGCACCATCTAACACGCTTTACCCTCAACAACACCATTTAAGAAACTCTCCAATAATACCCTTTCCATATCTCTAATATTTCTCCCAATCAACACAATCTTTCCTTCACCATTTCGGTCATTTTCCATCTCCATCGCCCCCTTTTCTTTCTCGGTAAGTTGGGATGGGGGAGATGGATCATCGAGGATCTCGAATACTTCTCGTACTGCTTGGATGATTTTGGTGGTGCCGTTGATGAGGGGGAAACGGGCTTTGAGACGGTGGATTTCTGGAGATGGGGTAGTGGGGGAGGAGGAGGATGAGGAGGAAGGAATGGTGGAATCCCATAGGAGAGAACGGAGCCAAGCATCGAGGTGGGGGATGGAGGAGGAGGTTAGGGGTGGTGTGGTTAGGGTGAGGGTTGTGATTGTCTTTTTGTGTTTGATTAGCTCATATTTTCATTTCATATGAAAAAAGGGGGGCGAAGGGGTTTGTGGTAGAGACTGGGTTGAAAGTATTGGATGCATGGATGAGAGAGGAGAAAGTAGCAATCATAACTCACAGGATCTAAGTGACTATGTCCTTTCGCTTTTACTTCCTCCAAATTAAAATCAACTCTATCATATGCATGCAAATCTAGCAAGACCCCCTCTAATTTAGGCGTTGCGCCAAATTCCGTAATGTGTAATTTTGCTAAACCATTTATAGCTGTTATTCTTTCCTTGACCACCTCTAACTCTTCCGGGGTTACCAAATCCGACTTATTGAGAACAAGAACATCAGCATGGGAGATTTGAAGATGGGCAGTTGTCAGATGAGGTCCAGAATGTCCATGTTCTTCATTGTTGACGTTGGAATAAGATTTGCTCTGATTAGGAGTCTCGGTGGGTATTTCAGAAGGGATGGGTTCATTGAGCGATTTGAGAATGTTTTTGGCGTCGACGAGTGTGACGATTCCGTCGAGGTAGATGGTGCTGCCGAGTCCTTCGTCGACCCAGAAGAGGGGGGCAAGATTACCCGGGTCGGCGAGCCCAGTAGTTTCTAGGAGGATGTAGTCGAACGCACCGCGGCGGTCCATGAGGGTTTCGATGGCATTTACGCCTGAGTCTCTAGATGTTGTGTGTGTTGGTGGGGGATAACGAGGTGAGATGGAGGCGAGATGTGGGACAGAGGAAGGGAGAATGGAAAGGGGAGAGGAGAATAAGGGGAATTACTTTACGGAACAACATATACAGCCATTACCAACATCAAGCCATTCTTCGACTTGCTCGCTACCGGTATTGACGGTCAGGGATTTCTCGATATCGGCAGCTGAGCAGTAGTGAAAATGTTAATTTGAATAAAAATCATGAACCATGAATCATGAAGTGTATTCAGAGTCATGGTAGACTTATGTATTCAAACAAGAGCTGAGAAGATCACTTGATCTATAGTTTCAAACTTACAATCACCAAATTCTAGGTAATTTATTAGTCAAATACAAAGCTTTAAGATTGAAGAGTGGCAATAATAAATACCATTTAATATCACAGCGATTTTCTTTCCATGTTGTTCGTTCAATATATAGTTCATCAAAGTTGTCTTTCCAGCACCAAGATATCCTTAGAGTTGTATATTAGTTGTATCATCTGATTCAGAAGTGTATATAGATCTTACCGGTGACAATGGTGATTGGAACTTTGATGGGTATTGGTTCATTTTCTTCTACCTTATCTTCTTTCCCTTCCACATCCACTAGCATCGGGATAACTTCATCGATGTCCATAATGAATATTAAGAAAGAAAAATACTATGAATTATATTTTAATGAACTTGTTGAGCACTTCCTTAAGAAATGCTCGTCCCATAAAAATTGACAACCTATTTAAAGCCTTGTGAAGATTTAGTGTTCCTGACGCTATTTAAAGCAAATCAAAATTTGATTGGTTGACGCGAATCCGAAGAAATTGGCGCGTACTACTGGTTCTCTCGTTCTGTAATAAGAATAAGACTGAGCAGCACCCCATCATCTTTCAATTATATGTTTTTGAAGCAACAAGAGCAACTTCAAAATCGGAACCTCGATCGCAATTTCGAGCGCAACCTCTTCTAGCATATGTGAAAATCTACAAAATCGGTTTGACAGGTCGATCATGATGTCTACTCTACCACCAAGCTCTCCACGACTTCCCAGCCCACCTCCACCCACAGAAATCCAGATTGGTCCTAAATCTCCATCACTTGGAAGTGCTCCCTCAAATCATGAACAAATGATTGAGCAAAGTATTATAGAAACAAATGCCAGTCGACGGATACATCCTGGAACAAAAGCTGCGGATATGGCTGCTGGTCCACCTCTTGTACCACTGAGTGAGGTTTGTGCCTCCTGATTTTGAGCTCAAAGGTTACGTCGCATCTACACTATGATAACATCGCTAACCTATTCTTGATATCATACAGCTCGACTCAGCATTTCAACTACAAGAACATTTGAAAGCGCTCCATTACTATCATACTAAACCCCCCTCCGAAGACCATAGCATACCCATAACCCGCGAAACCGCCGTCGAAATAGCCACAACACCGAATGGACTCGATCAAGCCCTTTGGCTTTACGAACTTTGCCGTTTCTTAATCAATAAATGTAATGATCTTATAATCGGATTCCTCTTCGACGACCCCCCTTGTTCCGCGCATACATGTCCGGAAATGCGCGCTTCTGAATGGCAATTTCTTTGCGCGGTACATGAATCACCCAAAAGTTGTTGCGCCATCGATTATTGCTGTCATACATTAGACTGGGCTACCAACATCGTAACTAGTCAAAAGATATTTCCAAGTCGTTTGAGCATGGCCGCTGGTGATGCAATGGATGATAGAGGGGCTGGTGTCAAACACTTAATTAATATCTTCAGACGCTTGCATCGAATATTTGCGCATGCGTGGTTTCAACATCGGGGAGTATTCTGGCAGGTAGAAGGTCAGACGGGACTTTATGTTTTGTTCAAGACGGTTTGTGATATGCATGAGCTATTACCACCAGAGAATTATAAGTTACCGCCAGAAGCAGAAGGCTTGGAAGATGTCGAGGACAAACCACCGGTGGTCACGTCAATTTTGAAGACGCCGGTAGGGGTTGAGGAAGACTTTCTAGGTTTAGGAAGGCAAAATACGACCAGGAGACATGCTAGACAATCGCCTTCAGTGGGGTCAGCGATTACAACAGTTCAAGAGATTGATGAGGAAGAAGGAGATATCAGTCAGAGGTTACGGGATGCACGCAATTCACGAATTGCAGAGGAAGAGGGAGAGGACGGAGAGGTGGAAAGTGATACTAGGATAGAAATACCCGTTATTGTAGAGACCCTTGAGGAAGCGGATCCGGAACATGATACGGAATCGGAGAAGTCGAAAGATGGAATAGCAAGGGAAGAAGAGCCAAGTTCGGAAACGATTGAAGAATTGGAGCTGGAGCAGGAAGATTCAGAGATGATCATCCATGATAATATCTCGAAAGCAGATTCGACGGGTTCATGGGATAGTATGTCTGGCGATTCAGTAGGGGATAAGACGGAAACGAAACCAGAAAATGAGGATGCTATCGAAGAAAAAGCAGATACCGTTATTGAAGATCCAATTCCCGAATCAGAGCCACTGAATACAGGAAATAACGGCGAGACAGAAGAAGAGCAAGAAGCACAAGAGCAAAAAGATAACTCAAGCGACGATGATACCACGATTCTACCCATAGAAGTCGAAGTCTCCCCCACAAAAGAATCCCCGACCAAAAAATCGAAGAAATCCAAAAAGAAAGGCAAAAAATCCTCAGCAGCAAAGGAAGCTTCAAAAATATCTACGACAACAACAACGACAACAACAACAACCAATCACATAAACGAAGATACGAACACCACGGAGGAAAAGGAAAAGACATCGGATCAAGATGAAGAGATAGGGTCAGGATTGGGGTCAGGGGTAGGGGCAGGAGATCAAAGAGCTTAACTTTTAATGGCATAGCACTTGCAATGGTACTGGCACTGGCTCTGGCACTGGTGCTGGCATGACGGATATGGATATGGATATGGATGGACATGGACATGGATATGGGATTCCATGAGCTGATGTTAATTTTTGTGTCTTCATCCACACTTACTTATTGTTTCTTCTACCTTGTTATTTATAATGCTTTTACTTTTACTACTTACTACCTACAGTACTTGCTACATTACATGTATATGTATCACACGTTAGTAAGATTATCTTGCTTATCAACTAAGATTGTATGGTGAGGGTGAGGGTGAGAAGGGGAAAAAAGAGAAAGGAAATCTTGATTTTATTTGCTGTAATATTGGGGGAAAAAAATATGAGGATGAGGATGAGGATGAGATGAGAATCATAAGATATAATATAATATTGGGGTTTAGATTCGAATTCATGAAGGAGAAGAAGAAGAAGAAGAAGAAGAAGAAGAAGAAGAAGAAAACAGATAATACTAGCTATTCGAGTTTATGTAAAGTCCATTTGATTTACTCGAGTATATATGATATGATTTATTCGATACATATGATACTCGAGTGAGTACTCGAGCATATAGATTTAAAATAAATTCTAATTCCTATCTAGAACTAAATTATGTATACTGTATATATATTTATATATCTACTCGAGTATCTATAGGTATAACTATCAGATATAGATAGTTTATAATAGTACTATAGTAGTGCACGATCGAAAGCGTCATCCTACCCTTCAATATCACTAGTACCGGTACCCCCTTCCGATTCCCATCCAACCTCCCCACAAGCATATCGCTATCCCTCTAGCCTCTCCCTAATTTATCATCCCTCATCTTCATCCGCCCCCATCGCATCACAGAAAATCATCATCTTTCTCCCTCTTCTCCCCCTTCTCCCCCTTTTCCCCCTTCAATTCACACCCCCATACAACAACCCCTCCACGCACTCCGCAATCGCCAAACTACTAGTCAACCCAGGACTTTCAATCCCCAACAAATTAATCCACCCCGGATACCCCTCCACCCCCATATCCGTCACCACGAAATCCTGAAACCCTTTCCCACTCCCCACCGCACTCATCCTCCCCAACTTCGGTCTAATACCCGCATAATCCGGCTTAATCCCCTCCACCCTCACCCCCGGCAAAAACCTCTTGATCTGCTCGATCGCCTGCGGTAACCGCGCACTATTAACCGCCAAATTAGTCGCATCATCCACCCACTCCACATCCGGACCAAAGCGAATCCGCCCCGCGATATCCAGCGTGAGATGCGTGCCCAGACCCCCGAGCCCCGCTTCCGGAGCTGGGTATATGAGATGTTTCGTCATGGGGGTACTGGGAGAGTAAGAGAAATAATTCCCCTTCGCGTAATAAGCTTTGCGATGGAGTGCTGGGGGTACAATCATATTATTAATATCGCAAGCTCCCAAACCAGCCGAATTAATAATCGTCTCCGATGTAAATGTATTTTCTTCCCCGCTGGCTTTATCCCGGACCAGAACTTCCCACCCCAAACTCCCATTTTCACCCAGCGGGGTAATGGCAATCACATTACTATTCAACGCCGTATCACCTCCTTTCTCGGCAAAATCGCCGTGCAGAAATTGCATGTAAGAATGCGAATCCACGATTCCCGTCGTAGGACTTGCGAGAATCCCGGTTCGGGCAAGAACATGCGGTTCTTCTTTGGCTCCTTGTTCGAGAGATACAAAATGCGTAGGGACATTGACAGTTTTGCTGAACTCGTGAACTTTGATGAGTCCTTCATATTGTTGGTCTGTCTGGGCTACGATCCATTTACCCATATTTCTATGTGGAATATCGTATTTGGCGCAAAGGGCATAGAGCATCTGACGACCACGGATGCAGAACTCGGTTTTGAGGGAACCAGCGCCATAGTAGAGACCAGCATGGATGACCTAATTGTAAGATTGTTAGTTAGATTCAAATGATGAAATGGTGAGATGATCTCATCCACATGTATCCCGTGTAATGACAGTCTGAGAGAGATATTGAGAGCAGAGACGAGATCACTAACCTCAGAATTTCTCGAACTGGTTTCCATTCCCACGCCGCTGTTGCGCTCTAGGAGTAATGTGCTTGTTCCATCTCTACCAGCTAATTGTCTTGCGATTGCGAGACCTACTGCACCACCACCGATAACCTTGGTGTATTAGCCTTCAATTGCAAGAATGTATCAGATTAGCACCATGGAAGGGTATATACAGCATGTGTAAAATCAGCCTTTCGTGAAATGGTCGTTGTAAAACATCGTCGGTGTGTCAATTTCGTGGGCAATTGACTCCTTATGAAGCTGCGGAACATATTGCGCAATCTTCTGAATCAATAAGCACAGATTTTGGGGTATTAGACCATGGGGGAATTCAATAATGGCTTATCGTTGGCGTAAATTTAATTTATGAATGATGCAATCGCACGAGTTGCGGGGAAGCTCCATGTTGTATTGTTATGTACGGAGTATTCAAATGTAAATGCAGGGATTCATTTCATTGACACAAGGCTCAAAGACGAGACAAGGCTGAGCATCACCGTTTGTCTTCGAGATATCGATACGTTCAAGGTTCTCAAGGACTCGAAAGAATACTATTCAATTCGGGTTTGAGTTTATTGTTGTTCCTAGGAATAAGAAATATCCTCGCCACGCCCTCTTGAAACTCACCCAATTAACATAACCTACAGCTTCCTTGCTGTCCAGCCATGAATGTGCCAACGCCAATATTTTATAGAGCTTACAATTTGGATACTCTTGATCCGCAGATTCATTCGTTACGCCTCTAGCCTGCAATCTTTCCAAACACAAAGAAATTTGCCAAAAGTGTTTACATCGCGTCAATCTTGTTTTGGTTCATCCGCTGGTGCAACAAGTGGTGTTGCTTCTTCGGAAACAGATGTGGATGACATTAAATGCGATGCAGTGGCAGGCTCGTGTGTTATAGAGGAATTCGAATGGAAATCACTAACTTGTCGCTCTAAATACAATTTATCAGTATCAAGGAGTCAATCGAACACTTTTTGAATCTCAACGTACCTAATTCCCGGATTCTCTGACGCAACATCTGGTTTTCTCGGATCATGGTTTGAGTTTCTGCCTGATAGTATGCACTTTCATCACGACCACCCAAATTCCATGATTCTCCCCCTTCATTGCTTGTAGATGTAGACCTCAACCTAGGCGATGCAGTTCGACTAGGTGTTCTTGATCGCCGATGTAGATTATCTCGTGCAACATCGAAGGAAGTTCGAGGATGCATCACCGTAGCGGGTGATCGAGGAATTGAGATTGCCGAAGTCACATTTGGGGGAATGTTTTGTGTCGAAAATGATAGAGATCGCTCAGATGTTGGCGTAGATTCGTCTATGGCTGGTGCGGATCCTTGCGCTTGGCCACTGGCAGCTTGTAGTTGCTGAAGTTGTTGTTGTTGAGTTCGAATCATATGCAACAGACGATTCTGCATAGAAGATTAATCAGTGAGCTGGCGTTTTCGTTACACCATAAGATATAAATGTAGCTTACCACTTGAGCCTCCTGTTCTTGTTCTAATTCCTGATGTATTTCACCAAGACTAGGAGTACGAAAATGATGAGGATCACCACTTGCAATGATAGGTGAGCCCGTAAGTGACATCGGGCTAGCTGTACGATACTGACTATCACTCACAATCTCCCCTTGAGGTGGCAAGGTTGGATCATTCATTTGTAGATTCATCAAGATTGTTGATCGTCTTCTGCCTGAGTGTGATGCTGTTGATGCCTGTCGATGTCGGCTTGTGGAAGAGCCTGCCTTAGAATTAGCAGTCATTCTGTATTGCCATCGTCTGGAGCCAGCAAATAGATTGACATACGTCTTGAGTTTTCTTCCTGTTGAAGTCCTGCATTAACTGCAGCAGCAGCTTGAAGGGAGTTGGACGCAGAACGCGGCGATGGTGAAGGACTTTGGCCTCGTATACTGGCATGTGCAGGGTGTTCACCTGGATTTGAGGTTGTGCGAGACATCGAGGGCGAGGTAGTTGATGATCGTGAAGGAGGAAGTGAGTTCAAGTCGGGAGCCATTGATATTTCCTTGTTTTAATGGCTGGAAAGAGTGGAATTCCTAGTAAATGCCTAGTAAATGCCTAGCGGATTGGTGGAGGGGCAGGTAGGGATAATAAGAATGTTGTGGGGTAATAGGGTAGCTAGGGGTAGGGTTGTTCTAGCACTATCAGCAGCTGGATTATGGCATGTAAAGAAATCGTATGATAAACAATTTGTAACTGAATATCATGATCTATTACTGTAGTAGGTAGGTATGTGGAAGTAAAGGTGATAGAGTGGTGATGATATTATTTTCGCATTTATGTTTTTAAGGGTAAAATGTAATATGTGATGAATTGTTTGCTCTTTCCCCTTTGCCCATACATACCGGGTACTATTTACTATTCCATTGTCTGATATATTACTATCAAAGCTTCTAAGCCTTGTGACGTTACTAGTACCCGCATTTTAGCTCTAGCTTTAACGAGCTTTTTTAGGTAGGGCAAACAAGTTGCCAAGTCATTGGTCAGTGCTCAGATGATCAGGTGATCAACTTAAAAACAATCATGGGATATCACGAGACAATTAAGGACCACAACATACGAATGATTAGATTAGGTATGAACATCATATCATTTTCATCCCATATCTCTGACTACTTTGTGTTATGGATACCTTCTTTCACCGTCAATTAGCACACCCTCTCCAAATCTTGATACACAGCGTCCCCAAATGCCTTGGCAACCCCTTGGCTCATCAAGTATTTGAGCAGGCTGTCACACAAAGAAGTTGATAACTTGGTATTTGTACAGGTTTCAGAGATCTGTCACATACAGTGTCAAAATTTCGAGTTACTTGATTGACCGTATCAAATTTGATCATATATGATTATCTTTGCGAGTCGTGAGTGCTTGTTGTGAGACGGCCAACCGGAGTCTATACGGAGCTTTTGTCCATCTGCGGTGATGCTGTTACGAAGTTGCGAATGGCATATAAGCTTCGTTATCGTACATCTGCAGGGTCGCATTACCAAAAACCTTAAGACGCTTTCTGTATGAACCCTTGATCTTACCGTATCCATACATGGAGGCTGTTTGTTAGTGTGCTATACAATGAAATCTGCAGTGTAATTATGAAGTCCTTGATTAAAGGAGATTAGGTACTGACGATCAAGAGTACGCCCAACTTGCAGTTCATCCTTAGTGATCGGCGCATGTACATGTCCACATGATAATCGCAAGCTTGTTGCATGGTATAATTGAAGTTGACGGCATTGATGTTCTAAGGATCCGCAAGACGATATGCCTTACTTGTCTAACAGCTCTCGATAGATTAACAGGCCGAGGCCAGAAAGTTATGTTACAAAATTCGTTGATTACTGATATTCGACGTGATGCAATTGTTATTGTGGTTGTACAGGACTCTGAATCTCGAGGCGATAGAATGGGGCGGCTTGCATACCGGGATCAGAACTTAGAAAAGTTATGATGTCTATCTCTTTCGTCATGCGGTACCACAATTTGGTATAGATCCTACATATTATCTTCGATCGCTGCTCCTGCATGACGGGCATGAGCCATTTGGAGTTTTTACTCCAAATATCCTCGAGTCGATGTAATTGCTTGCCCTCTGGCTGGGTTTTCTGCATTGGTTTACCTGACATAAGACTGCAGAATCTTGATATATGTATTAGAACCGGACAGACGAAGTTGGGTTCCTTTTTCATCGTAGTACAATAAAATCTCCCAACACATTGTGTAGAAAGATATCGTGCTGGCACGAAAGGCAAATATCTAAACGTATGCCAGCACAAATCAAATTCTTCGAAAACACGTATGCTGCGCATAATATGCATACCGAAATTTGAAATCCTTCAGCGCCCTACTTGGACCAAAGAACTGCCAATACGCGTGCGATGATAATATGAGGAGGCTGCAGCCATCCGTTGTCTGGAACCGCTTCCGCATTGAGGGCGAAAGTATGGGAAATCCCCACAACGGCCGAGGAAAACGCTCAAAGTCCACTCCTAAATTATACGATAGTCTTGGTTGTACTTCGATAATATTGCCTAACCCAAATCTCGAGGACTCATGAAAAGGCATCGTTAGGTAACTATTCGCGCAATGCAAGAAAATGGGTAAAAGTGGTTCATGAAGTATGATCGGAAGCGTGCATCTTAACCTGAAAATAACGGCATAAGCCTTGACAGCCACATTTTCGCTGGACATCTAGCCTATCATATTTGCAGCTTGGACGAGAATAAGACTTCCTAGGGGAACGCGATTCTGTGGCACGGACGTTGACCTGGGATGCAAGTTGTCCCCACTGGTTTGGGGACCTCGAAGGTTTGAACCTGTCGGATGCAATGCGGCCTCATCAACCCAAAGGCATACCGCGTTTGACCACTAACAGTAAAACACAATGCCCTTGTTCTCCAGTGACAGGTACCGTGAGCGGCATATAGGGCAATCATTCGAACACCGTTCTAGTTCTACAGGTTCATATACTCAAATTTGCATCAATCTGGAACTGGACGGGTGATGAAGCCAGTTGCTATCAAATATGTTACACTTCCAAGCTGCGAACAAATTTGCTTCTACAGAATCTCTGCACCCCGAAAACAGGTCGTAACCTCGATCGTTGCGTCCCACTGGTTCCTGGCCACAATCGCAGGGAGTGTCGTTCTTGACAGTTTAAAAGCATATCTTAATAACTAGTATTGTCCCACTTTGTGTCAACAAGTAACCACCATGGCGAAAAAATCTAAAGATACTCCATCCAGAGCAAAAGCTCCGCAGAAGCCGTGAGTCTTCCTTCCCTGTCACCAGGTGTTCAGATATATTGCTCAAGTACTAATCGGCAATTGACAGAACGAATGTTACTGTAGACAAGACCGTGTCGGTTACCGAGACCCACAACGCCAACACAGTCTCAAGCCCGACTTACGAGTCCATCGGCGTTGATAAGGCGTCCGCTAAGGTTCATAGCGAGGCAATTCCATCGAGCTCTAACGAGGAGTCATCCAGTGCCGAACTTGCGGAAGAAAATCATCGCTTTTCTGATGCATATTCGAACATGAGTCGTCAGACTCCCAGTTGCGAAATGTGTACCGACAAATCGAGAGTTTGTGGATTCTGTTCCCGTGATGGCCAGAATTACGACACTTGGTCCGATAATACCGGTGGACATGAATACACAACCGACATGAACAAGCCTGAGGACAGGATACAATTACAGACTTGGACGTATGAGACTTCTCAGGTAACGATCGCTGAAAGATTAGAACAGAGAAAGTGGTACAGTCCAGACCAGAATTTCTGAATTGTTATATATGACCGGCCTTGGGAAGCTGCAACCTCAGTAAGAGCCCCTAAATTTTCGTGTTCCAATGCATAGGCTGACATGATGTGAGCACTTTGAAGGAATTTTATAGAAGCATTGAAACTCTGGCTTGAATAAAAGTTGTCGGCACGTTTGCTTGAGCAGGCAGGAAAATGGTTGGAAATCTGTGGTAGAAAGAAAATGAGGGATGGCCAAAATCAGCACGTTTTCGTCTGAACGGGTCTTCCAACTTTGGGTGACATTGAAAAGAAGATGGTTGGCGTGGCTCTGATATTTTGCACTTGTTGTTGAAAAGGTTGAAGGGTAAACATTGGACAAGCATAATCGAGTAGAGAGAGTACGGAGTACAATCGAAAAACTAAAAAGAATATCCCTTCCAATCACTTAGTGGGTCGAAATTGCTTAAAGAGGTAAGGCGTGAGGCGCTTGCTTATCCGGCGCCACCTATTTTAGCTGTGGCTGTCTAGCTTGCAGTATTTGACCCTCGGGTACCGGTACCTAGGTAGGTACAAACAGATATAACGTCAAAATCGAACATATTGCGTGAATTGATGGCAAATCCTTTCGCAGTATCGCAGTTATATTACAGTACAGTACTACTACTACCTTGTATTGCATAATCTCCCTGGTTGACCGCCCTAGCTTCTGAGGTCTTTCACAGGTCTCAACATTGGAATTGGATTCAACGAACACTTCTCCTCTACTTGGCAAGATATGGCGAAGCTCATTCACTTACGAGAACAATCGAGATTAGATGACATGGCATGGTGAATGGCAACTTTTGATGAACCCTCCTCCAATCAATTCCGTTATCCATGTTTATCAGAGATTCGTGATAAGTAATGGCATTATGCGGCACCAACCCACTTGACCCGATCAAGAAGGTCTGAGGATGGATAATTACCATTGCGGAGAGAACCTGCCAATACGGTACTTAGAAGATCTTGGCCAATCGTTGGAAATCCCCAAAAAATATATATCAATATATATGCTCGAGCAATTCAACGATAATGCTTTCTTTCATTTTCAATCTCTTGTCTTTCCTGTCATCTTCTCTGGACTGGTTTTCGGGCTTGCTACATTTTGATTCTGATCCAAAATGCGTTCCTCAAACTTGACTCCATTTCTGGCCGGTTTGGTTGGATTGTCATGCAGTTGTATAGCAAGCACAACATATGGATATGGACACGGGCACAATTCTACAACCGCCATTTCTACAGCTACGCCTACACTCGCAGCTTGTGGCATTGTTAGCAGTCTTTCATCTATTGCTAGAGTTGCAACACCGTCAGGTATGTGGAAAAGCACGGCGAGGCCATCTTAACAAAATTGAAGACACTGGATCGAGTGGCTGGACTGCATGTATTATCTGAGCTCGATGTGGCAAAAGAATTCAAAAACTATGTTCGAGGCTTCTGTCTAAGTGGAGCAAAGTTTGCGAGAGAACATAGAATCAAATAATGTTTATTTGACTCTGAGACTGACTGTTTTTGCATCTAGCTACCCCCACAGTTGATGCTAAATTAGCTCATGACTGTCTCAATTCGGTACCGTTGAACTCAGCCGCAGCGCTTGAATATGTCAAAGGAATAGAACCATATATCGAATGGCAGTCAGGTATGTTTACCAACATTTATTCTATATCACTATACGACCCCGCTCAAGATTTTACCCCTCAAGTAGGAGTAGCATCTATAGATATGTCTGATAACACCCTTCAAGGCCTCGTCTCTTCAATCCCTCAATCGAACCTTTTGGCTAATTCCAACAGACCTCGTGGACCTCAAAGACCCACCAGCAGATTACTTCTATCCCCCATTTGATGTGTTGGGCAAACTCGCTTCTGTGAAATCGAACCTCAAAAAGGGCGTGTATGCGAATGAGTACGAATTTCAACAAGGTTTATATCAAGTCTTTGCCCCAGCGCATGACGGACATTTTGTAGTCTATCCAGATCTACTCACTTCTGCTTTTGAGTGGCGCCGTCAGAGATCTTTAGTATCTATCAGTAGTGATGGGGTTGAAGTTCCCAAGATCTATTTATATGGTGAGTTCGAAGACGTTATCTTATATTCAATTCAAGTAGTACTGACAACTGTTTTTGTAGAGGACATTATTGCTGCACCATCAGAAGCCTCTGAGGTCACCAAGATCAATGGCGTTGACGCGGTAAAATATGTGGAAGATTGGATCTTCCAAGCATCTTTCAATCAAGACTCGGATTCCGCATACAACACCATGTTCTATGAGAAAGCATTTGTCGCAGCAGGTAAACACATCTCATTTCTTATACATGATACTCTTCTCCCTTCGATTATGCTAATTTCACTTCCCAGGCGTTTCTAAGGGATACTTCTCATCTGGTGGTCGAATCCGATACATCTATCCAGGCTCAAACACCACTTTTGGCTTCGAGAATGGTACACATTTGATTACCGAGAATTTCGCCAACGTCAAAGGAGACTTCACCGGTGTAACTGATGGAAATTCCTTTTACCAAAAGTTTTGCGTTCCAACCACAACCGAATCCGCCGAAGCTACTACAGTGCAAGCCCCTGCAGCCACAATCGTTACCGCTACTGGATATCCTACCCCTGTTGTCATCACTAATGATACGATTGTCGGAGGATATTATCTCAGTGATCCTGGTTTCGAAGACGTTGCAGTCTTGAGTCTCCTGGCGTTTGAGTCCGATTCAATTGCAGAATTCCAAGCTGTCACACAAGCCTTCCTCGCGGATGCAGTCCGAGATGGAAAGACCAAACTAATCGTCGACTTGCAAGCAAATGGAGGAGGTTATATTCTGCAAGGTTATGATGAATTCCGACAACTCTTTCCTCATATTGTGCAAGACGGATATAGTAGAATGAGAGAAAGTGACACGTTCTTGACGATATCCAAGATAATTTCGGAGGACATTCCCGCAGATTGTAAGTAAAACCTCATTGGCCATCGATCTCTACATCCTCAACTAATACGCCACAAGATGATCCGAACACAGCATCGTCAGATTTGATCGGCGAGTACGAAAACTGGTTCAACTACCGTTACGATTACAACCTGACTAATCAGCCATTCCTGACATTCGAAGATAAATTTGCTCCACATGTCTACAAGGGTAACAACTACACTAATCTCATACGCTGGAATCTTGACGATCCTCTCACTACTGTCAACTCCACATACGGTATGGGTATCGAGATCTCGGGATATGGACTTCTAAGTAACTTGACCCAACCTTTCGCCGCGGAAAACATCGTCATGTTATATGACGGCTATTGTGCATCAACGTGCACCATTTTCAGCGAATTCATGCGTATCCAAGCAGGAGTTAAATCCATTGCCTTCGGAGGCAGACCTTCGAGCGGCGCCATTCAAGGTGTTGGAGGTATCAAAGGAGCACAAGTCCTTTCTTTCAGTGACATATACCATTACGCCCAAGTTGCAGCCGCGTCTCCAAACGCAACGCCAGAAGACCTCGCCATTCTCAACCGTCTCACACCCATTCCCACCGACAGAAGTACCGCCACATCAGTCAATCTGAGAGATGCTATTCTCCCCGGCAATGTAGAGGATGGACTCCCAGCACAATATGTAGTTGAAGAAGCGGACTGTAGATTATATTGGACAGCGGAAATGATCACCGATGTCGAAAAGGTTTGGGAGGCGGCTGCGACGGCGGCTTGGGGTGGTGGTGCTTGTATTGGGGGTGCTGGTTTGTCGTACGGAAAGAAAGATGTGCAGAGTAAACACTCGAGGACTAAGGAGATAAAACCAGTGGTTAATAGAAAGAAGGAGAGGAATACGTTGGCTATGAAGAGGGAAGAGAATGTGGAGAAGGATCCGTTGTGGAGTGCGAGACATGGTAGGAAGGTTATTTCGTGAACACTGAAGGGTCGCAGGGATACGTATGATACATTCAGGCATACACATGATACATTCAGCTATTTAAAGACTCAATCAATTTATTCTCTCATCTACGAGTTTTCAACGGTTTCCACAACGATATTTATTATGACGATCAAAATAGAATACTTCAATTCTGCAAAAACGTCTCTTGGTTAGTGATTGTGATTGGGGTGTCAGCCTGCCAGGGCTTACTTTGTTAACTACCTAGTATTTCTACCTAAATCCAACTCCTTCTTTCTTGATATGTAAAAGTATCCAGCTATTAATCAATACAATACGTGAACCACCAACCAACCAACCAGTATCTCTGACTGACTGGCTGACTGGCTGACTGGGAGGGAAAACTGTGAATTCCTTTTACTATCTTCTGGAAATGGAGAAAGTTGAATTTAAGAAAGTGATACTCTCGGACCGGAATATCTATCTGCGTATCTCTCTACTCGAGTAGTATACTAGGTAGGTTAGACGAGAGTCCCTGCATGTTAGTTTACTTTGGGTGGGGAAAATATGTAGTTATTGTTATTATGAGCCGAGAGTTAGGATATCGGATGAGATCACTTGATTGTAGAAACCGGAAGGAGAATGAGAAATAAGGTAAGGAGGTATATAATGTATATCGGATGACTATCTTATATTTTTTAGTACTGACTAGTTCAGATGGTGTATACTAGTAGATTATTAGTTTAAGCTTATGAGATGAAGATTGATTATTTAGGTGAAGATAGTATACTATCGAATTTTATTCAATTTAAATATACAAATATAATACTCGAACATACTGGGATGCTGCGACTCGGAGTCTCATCTAATACCCTTGATAGCCTATGCGATAAGTTGTATGTATACAAGAATTTACCTAGTTATATATGTTTATATAAAGTGACTTGATTTGTTTGAATTGTTGTGAAATCCCACCTTATTTCTTCAACAGACCCAGAATCGTAATGCCATAATAAAATACAGTAGTACTTCGATTATCGACAAATATAGCACAGATCGGTTGTGAAGATATGCTGCAAGTACCTGATCCGTGACATTACTGTAAGTACCACTTGAAGCAACGTCAAATACTGGATCAAGACTCGGAGTAACAATATAAACTTGGAAGATGAATCTAGGACCCGAAGAATCAAAATCGACTTTTATTATAATGTGAGGCTATCAAGGCAAAAATTTACGAGGTTCAAATACGAGCCTCAGATACCGTGACAGAGGACTCGGACAAGGCTTGGTAGTAGTGCCCATTCTGATTCTACTCGTCGCTTATAAACCGCAGAATCATAGTAATTCTCATAGTAAGCTATATCGCTCACTAGTTTGTGTTTGAATTAGTAGAATAGTAAGGGGTAAGGGGGAGGGAGGGGTGGGGTGGATTCTCATATCTTGAAACTTTCGTATCGTGTCACAGTCTACTGTAATGTAATTTTTTGTGGCTTCAACAATACCGTGACCCTGAAAGACAATCAATCAAACAAAACATAAAGCCTGTATATATTAATACTTTAACTTACGACTCAAAACTCTGCGATACGAGGAAACATCTGAATGGCTAGTTCACCAATCCTCCGAGACATATTATAATAAAAGTTTGAAGTCTAAGTTTGAACTCTCATCTGATTCATATTAGTAAACTCCTTGGTTGGGGTACCAATTTTTTCCAGCTTTGAAAAATATATTATGCCATTCTCTTATAGAAGAAATTTTCATCATTTCTTATAGGAAACATATCTGAACTTGCTTGGAGGGAGTCTCAGCAATGGCAAGCGATTCAGAATGGAAGTATCGATTTTGTTCAAATTCCTACTTTTGAAATATACAATAAACTCCTTTCTGAAATTGTGTTTTCGCCTGATCTAGTCAGATATAAAGTATTCCCTATCAAATCATCGAAACGGTACTACCGCTTTGTACCAAATTTTGTTCAGTGTTCTTTTTGAGATGTACAAGAAGACATTTCAGTTGCGGAGAGCAGTAACAATATAGTATGAAAAGCACCGAACTGTATTCATGTCTGATATTGGGATATCTCATACCATATCCGTACGTACTACAACAGTCAGTAGTAGTATGAACTAATTAAGATATCATACTTATTCCGTGACATTGAAGTTACTCTGGACATTGGAATCCATTCTATTCAAGTTTTGTCAAAATGTAACTCCATCATTTCTTCATCCAACTAGGTAAGTTTCATGAGTTGCCGGAATTGCCTAAATTGAAGCTGTTTCCATGCTGGATCCAGGGCTCACCTTGGATATCTGGAGATGATCAAGCTCAGCCTCGATAGTCCTTGGGAAAAGGATATGTGCTGCCGAGAGTGGATTTTAACGAGGAATCTTTTTCGATTCGAGCTCGCGCTGGCGCTCGTGACAATATCATATAAAATGTCATCTTAGTAAAGATTTATAAAAGAAAATTCGGCTTTTTTATATCCATATATGAGATAAGCGAGGTTATAGGTTTACAATAACTTGCGCTTGGACTTAGGCTAGAGCTAGAGCTTGAAGGTGTAAACTATTGTGCACTTGACCAAGCACGAGAATTATACGATTCGACTAGCCTCCACATTGTTGCTCGGCATCGATATGCAGTGTGTCGTAGTAAGCTTCTCCAGCTGGTATAACGAAAACCACCGGGAATTGCGACGTTTTGGGCAGGGTCAAGCGTGTCCCAGGGACGGTTGGCGCGGAAGGCTTCGATGTAATGGAATACTGAGGTGGAGGGTCTATATGGCGGTCCACTTCAGGATGCCCTTTAGTAATTCATTGAGCTCGTTCAATACTTGATATCAGCATAAGCAGTGCTAGCATATTGTCTGAACTTGTCGAACTCACCTACTCCGAGGCAAATTACACCTTTTGGACGGTGCTCAAATTAGTTGATGTAACAGGAACTTCTTTCCAACACCATACATTATCCAAATAACATTGTCGAATTTTGAAGATAAGAAGCTCAAGTCCATGTCACTTAAGTAAAGTGAAGAGATGTCGGTAGTAAACGCTGTGGTATCAAACTCGTTCTATCTTTTCTTTTCGACAAGAGTCTTAAAAAGCGATTCATATCGCATCTAATCTTGTAATTTGATTTCTGTATCACTTTTTAGATATACAGCAACCCTCTATATTGAGATTAGACTGTCGTCTCATCTTATTGGAAACTACAGTATTTCAAAGTTCTCAAGCTTAAGCGAGGGATTTAGATGTCACAGGCTAGGACCTTAATATCAAACAAACTCCCGTAACTTTCACATCCCTCTGGATATCTTGAATCTTCGTCCGAGACTCTCCACAAAAATATTCTAAAGTATAATGTCAAACTAACGGAATAAGGAATATCGCCGTCCACCTAGATTAGACGAGAACCCCTTTTTGTTCCTGAAAACAAATTGTATACCAACTAACGCTCTCATCTGAGAGCCATAATATAGCTTCGTATACTATTATAATTTGTTGACTGGGATATGAAATATCATCTGTGCAAGTGAGACGAGAAACTCCTCATTCTCCGAAATAAATCATATGATATTTTACCGTTTTCGTCTATTAATCTAACTTCCAGTGACTCTTACTAAAATGCGACTCGGACTGACTATTTACGAACTAAACTCGTCTCATGGATTAAGTATACTATCTTCAACCAGTAGTCCAAACCGGATCACATAATAAAACTCTCACCGCTCAAAAGCTGAAATGATATTGTAGTATGATACGAAGTCTAGTACAATACTTTATAATCTCACTAAGGAATATTCATCTGAGGGGGGTGTCAACGAAGCTGTTAATACACCTACCAGTGGCGACGATGAAATGTTCATGAACAGAGGACCCGGCAGTTATTTCGAGATTTCAGATTTACCAGGATCCTGATCATGCTTAGTGATCCAAAACATGGAACAATGGATTTTTTTTTTCGGGGACAGCGTTGTGTGGTTGGGACATCAAAGGAACATTCAGGGTAACGGTGGCGATTAGTCATTTATTTTGATAATAGTTTCTACTTTAACTGAGAATATTAAAGCTGGACTTGAGCAACTGTAAATACTCGTCTGAGTATAGGAGGCTATAGCCCAAAATATTGAAGTCAAGATTTGAATATTTAGATATACTCGTTTGAATAGACAGCGTTATAGTCTAAACGATTCAATCATGACTAAAACTTTGAGCTATACTCATCTGAGTATAAGAGATTGTAATCAAGAATATCGAACTCAGATTAAAGTATTTAAGTAAAATTATCTGGATCTTGTTTGTGATAGTCGCAAGTCTTGGAATATGACTTCGAAAATATGGAAATGCTCATTTGAATATTTGATATCAGGATCTAAAATTGTCGATTGCAACTCAAACATCCTGAATAGTCGTCTGAGTGTGAGAAATTGTAATCTAAAATACTGAATTTATACTCAAGCATTAGGTTACACTTGTTCGAATACTGAACGCTGTAAGCTGAAATATTCGATCACGGTTCAATTGTCTACAACATTTATCCGAATATAAAGAATGAATATGAATCGCCAGAATTCTAAACTCAACAATCGATAGGCCTATCATCTGATCATGATTTCCAACTTTATTTTCACCAAGTAAACTTTTCCTACATGTTTTCATTTTAGACATTTGCTCCCGGTGAGCCATAGCACTTGAAGAAAAGGCCATCGTTACTCCCGGTGACCTTGGCAGTGTAGCAAATTGTGAAATGATGATGCAAATGATCATTTATTAGAGGTTCAAAAAGGAACAAAAAGCTCAATTACATTCATCTCTGGACTCTGAGCAGTCCAAGAACACACTATCTGGTGCGTTGTGCATCCAAACATCAAAATAAAACCCCATCCCACACAGAAATAACCCTACAATCCACATAAATACTCCAAATAAAATCCACTTGTAATGTCCATCATCATTCTACCTCAATATTTAGTCCAATATCTCAAATCCAGGACGATGGCTTCAGCGAGAAGCACTAGTAAAAATTGAGCTAACCTTTCGCGAAACAGTGGTACTTCTAGTTCCTTTAGACTCTGGTGTCTCGTGTAAATGACCATCTGCATCTATCATGTACGTTCTTATCTCTGCTGCTTTGAATTTCCTCCAAAACGGCTGGAATGTATGAGACACTGCGTCAAATATGTTAGTCTTGACCTCATAATCGATGAGCTAGGAGATATAACTTACACGGCAGCAAATACTTCATAAAAGTCCCATGAGAGATCACTACGATATGTATGTCCTCCATAACATATGTACGCAGAGGCCAGCCCACAGACTGTCCAGCTGGACCCTTTACATAAACTCCTTTCCAAATCCCACCTCCCTTGCGTATCATCTTCGCAATCCTCAAAAGCTCCTTGCTAACCATCTCCGCACGCTGTTCTGCGCGGATGACACTGTGCATTGGTGGAATAACAGGGGACAAAGCAGAGAAATCGACTCCTTTATTGTTATACTCGTCTGCCAACTCGGAAACTCCCTGACGAACATTACACAGAAAAGGTCCACACTCCCTCAAATCGTCATAGGCGACGATTTGCGGTTGTGAGGTAATGCTCCCGCTGGTGGTGGTAGGGAAGACGTGCAGTGCAGTCTCGACAGTGCGAGCTAGGGGCGATGTGAGGACGATATGGGGGACGGGACAGCGCTCTGCCATGTACTCTCGAGCAGATTTGGCTTGTTCGTTACCTTCGTCGGTGAGGAAGGGGTCGGGGATGGCATAGGATTGGGGGTTTACTTGGCCATGAACATGTCCGAGTTTGTGGTACGCTTCCCCATGACGCATTAGGTGCACAAATACTCTGGTTTCAAGCCCAGGTGCTGGAGAGGCGAAGTGCCGTTTAATGCGCTCGTATAGTGCCATTGTGGAGAATATTTCGAAGCGATTTCTTGGATTAGATGCTCTGAAATGTCTGGAAAACGACTAGAAGCTCGAAATGTATGACTAGATGCTGTGAATAAAGAAGTCCTAGGTAGTATTGTATGATGCGAAGGCCTAAAAGACACTCTATAGAGATCTCAGAGCGTTGATCCGCGTCGCAGGATAGGTAGCAGATGGTAAAGAGAGTTATAAGTCCAGAAAAAGCTTACTGATGGATATTAGGTAGCCTTTCAGCCCAGACAACTCCCTGAAATCAAAATAATAAGCGCAAACGACGCAATAAGTAGGATCCAAGCTAAAGAACGAGTAGAAGAGCTAGGAACGGTGGCAGGAGACCGTATTAGTTGAGGCGGGCACTGTTGTAGGCTCGCGAAGTTGATCTGGAAGGGTATTTGACTGAACCAAAGCTACAAGAGGGCCAGAAACAGCAACAGATAGAGCTCAAGCTGAAGAGCGATCCCAAAGTGTCAGAATTGGTGGCAAAATAGTCTGTTTGTTGTAGTTTGCGCTGTTGTAGACTCGCAAAAAGTTGATCTGGAGGTGTAAACTGGTTGAAGTCGAAGATACAAGTGTGACGGGAGCGGAAGGAATAAGCACGACGCGATTTGAAGTTGGATAGCGCTATTTAGAGTGCTGTAGGATGGATAAAATGAATTTAGAAGTATTTAAAAGACAGCTAAAAGCATCAAAATGATTGAAAAGAAGTGTCGCAGATTCTTTGAAAACGGTAATCAATCGCAAACCGGGACTTTGGGGCAGAGAATCGTTATAAAAGTGTTAAGGTACTTTATTGGAAGGCGTTGTCTTTTCGTTGAATCTCCTAGGCGACGAGAAGTCGAAGTCCAGTACAGCAACAATAATTACGTACAAAAAACGAGTAAATAAGAACAACAAATCAACTATACTTGCCGTATTCTACGTAAAATACCACAACAACCTTCTACCCGCATTAGTTCTTATAATTAGCAACTTCGCACAATCTTTCTGACTCACGACCCATCGATTAGCTACAGATATATACAGGGAGGGGGTCAATGACGCCATCAAGGCAGTACGATACGCAGCCTACGAAGTCGACATATGCGGGAGCATACTGGGTTTATTCACGGATGATTGATCTGCCATGAATTAGATGAAAGGCTGGAATAATCATACCAGTTTCTCCATCTGGGCTATTTACTTTTACCGAGACTATACACCTCAACTATAAGACCCATCTATCACATATGATGTCTTTACAGTTCAACAACCCAGACTCATTTACTTCCAGTCATACGGCCTTTGATACACCATCTCGACGGATTAGTAGCTCTTCTGAACCATATTCCAAGAGTCAAGCATAGACAACTCTCCCATCTGACCAACAAGGACCTGGGGCTTGGAAATTCAAATTCCGTGGCAATACTGTCTTGATAGGTCAATACTCTTTACGCAGCTTCAAACGGAACTTAGGGACTGGAACAGGCAGATGTAAGACTATTCCTACGACACCCGAATATTGAGAAGCATTTCGAAACTAATTCCCTAGGCTAACAGATGATTTCTACCTTCCATTACCGTCTCTACAGCCCTACAGCCGCTCAGGACAATCTGACTCTCAAATCCTATAACCATCTGGAATTATGCACTCTAGCCTTATGAGCGAAGAAAAGCTACAGTACATGCTTCAACAGATATATATCGATTAGTATCTATCTATACAACGAAAATTCTATTCCAACTACATGCCCCCATACCATAAGTCTTCTCGGACACTCACTCTCCAAGGCTCCAAAGATGCCCGTAAACAATGAGAGGCCCGGAATCAGAAATCGCCAGATTGGTTCGTGGTTTATTTAAGTTCGTACTTCATACTTCATTCATAAAATGAATATTGGTTGTGAGACGAAAGCGGAAGGGTGGGATGACGAACCATATTGGAGCATAATTTAGAGGAGTAATGATGCGCTTGCGGCCTATCCTACGATCACTACGCATGCTATTCAGACGAGGTATCTCGAGGGTATCATCCATGCTGTAGTATAGATGAATCGGTAGTGATCAAATTGAACTGTATTTAGTGTTGCTAATCCTGTCTCGATTTAAATTAATCAGGCATCACAATAACCAATCTCATCAACATATGTATTGTTAAGCTCAACTTTCCGTGCATAAGCACACCATCCTCCCCTGAGAAGCAGAATCAAATCTCCTCTCACTTCCTAGCCTTCATCTTCGCCCTCTCCAGCGCAGTCTCTAGCAACCCCTCCTGTGCCGCCAACTTGGCCAAAATCGGTCTAATCATACTGCCCTCACAATCTCCCCCATAAGCCTCCACCACATCCCCAATCCTCCTCTCCAATGTTCCATCATTTTCACTCCTCTTCCTGAAACTGATTCCCGGCTTGATGGTAGCACAATTATACTGACTTTCTGCAGCTCTTATCTGACAGATTTCTTCAGTTTGACAATCACCCGTACACGTCTCAACGTTGTATCCTCTTGTTTTGCGAGCGATGTATTGGTTGAATACAGTGGGGCTACTTGCGAATACGGTGGTGAGATTGTGCCAGAAGGCAGGAGTTAGTTCCGCGGTGGCGGAGGTAAGTGGTGGGGTTACGAGGGGGCCGTAGGCGGCTTTAGCGGAGTAGTAGGGTTTCCATATCGGTTCTGATTGCGTGGAGGAGGTGAGTGAAAGGTCGGCAATGTAGGTTGTGAAGTCGAGGATGCCGTATGTCACGGGATCGACGGAGTAGACGCGGAAGGCGGGATAGCCGGAGGTGGGAGTCATGGATGGGATGATGTAGGATACTTCGAGGGCGTTGGCTGCAGTTTGAGCGCTGTAGTTACTGTATGTGATTTGGAATTGGTCGCGGTGAGTATGACCTGGTTTGTTAGCGAGGAATGTATAGAGAGGGCAGATGAAATTCACCGAAGAATAGAGCGGCAATAGTGGCGGAATATCGTTGAGTAATCTGATTGAAGTAGTTTGAACCGTCATGCAATGCATCATTGCTTCCCATAGGCATATGCCCAATAATGTAAACTCTTTGGCTAGCAGTCTCAGCTGCTTGAAGTTCAGTGACTAACCATGCTAATTGTCCGGAAGGGTCTTTTTCCATGGTAGCCTCGTAAAGCCAATAGTTAGATCTGTAGTAGAGGTTGGTGTTGATAGATATTATTCGCAAATTGCTTCCAGACAGGAGTGTCGAGTAGGCGCCAAAGCTAGCCGCTGAAGAGGCAGCAGTAGAGCCAATGAAGGGTATCCAGTCTGTAGAAAGAGTATTGTAGACCCATTGTGATGTCGTGACGCCATCTGCTTTTGACGGGAAAGAGTTGACCGGTGCTGATTCATGGTTTCCAGTCGTTGCAAATAAGTTGTTTAGACCCGACATTCGACTATAAGCGTCATTGATATCCGCAATATTTCCAGTCGAATTGACAAGCCAGACGGCGCCTTCAACGATATCGCCTGTGAAGATTGTCGCCGTGGCATCTGGAGCAATTTCCTTTATAGCTGCGTACATACTCTCTTCCAAGCTGACAGGAGCATCGCACTTATAGTTGCCATATTCACCAGCTGGATATGAGTTGTTGCCAGGTGCATCTGCGGAGGTATAAGGCCTACAGCAGATGGGCTTCGTGCAATTAGTATTCGCACCAACCTCGTACTCATGATCCACGTGAATGTCGCTAAAATGTACAAACTTCAGAGGTGTCTTACCGCTCACAGCTGGACGCTGAGTGGCGGGCTTGGCACTTGGAAATGGGACCGTATATGGGGTAACAGCTGGAAAGCCACATAGCCCAAAGAACGTTATACAAAACAACTTGGAAGTATGCGATCCTATTGACAATTTTCTCAGGTCTTGTGCGATTATTGGCCCCTCTAGACCAATTGCTCCTGCACAAACATCTGAATCCTCGACCTTAACGATATATTAGTGCGAACATTCAAAAATAAAAGAGGGGTTGGACTCACTCCAGCCAAATTGCATATTCCAGACAAAGTATCAACAAAAACTCTATCTCCTAACGCAGCGACACCTTTGAGCAACAAGAGTATAGCCTGTTACCAGATGTATCAGTCCTTTTCTTGACAAAGATGGAGATACCTTTCGGATTTCGCGTACAGATACTTTTTTGACTTGCGCAATTGCAATCGACGGAAATCAAGGAGTAATTGACTGTATGTTAAGGATAGTCGGTTACTTACATCACATCCAGCGCAAGTAGCTGCCGATTCGATAGCTTTCCATATATCGCTTCCCAGGTCATCTTTGACTAGCTCTCCGGCATTACAAAATGAGAAGATTGCAGCAAAACACAGGTATAAGATTGAAAGGGGCTTCATCTTGGAGATTAGCAAAAGTTATGAAGAACACAACCGTCCATTCTCAAAGCACTTGGGAGTATCTTTTATACTGAAAAGACTGGTAGAAAGTGACAAAGATGGTAGGTGTCATTCAAATATTTCCTGCGTGATAGAATAAGAGACGGAGAAAACGAAATGCACATTTGGAACCGAACCGTGTAGTACACGAGGTGGTCTTTTGTCAAGCGTTGGTCTATACTGATAGGATTCGCAGAATTGACAGGGGGGGTACTGAGGGCCAATGAGAAGTGCAAGGAATGATTTTTACAAGGCTTCATCAATTACCTTCCTAGAATCGACAATGTCTGCATCGGGGCTGCTGCCCTTTTGAGGTTCTACAATATGTCATCGGACCCATCTACCCCACGATTGCATATATGCCCCTTGTGAGTGTATGCAGTGTGTGGATGCCTTGCATATAACCTACAATCTACGCCAGTATGCCGAAGCTTGGTATCACGGTGCCAAATGACTGGACGAAAGAAACAGATGCTGCAATATCAAAACGAATCTACATTAAGAGAATTTCCTATCTAGGGACGACAAATCAATTGATGCTTTAGCCTACTATTACATTAACCTTTTACTCATCCTTCAATGCTTCTTCCGGGAGAGGAAATGTTAATCAATGTCAGTCACCACATTGATATACAAGTACCACTAGCACATGCAAATAAACCTTCGCTTGGTATTTTGAACCTAAGTATACTTCGTATAAATCCGTATTGCGAGAGCTTGTAAGGTATTCATGATGGCGTTGAAGGTATTGCACCCGTAGATGTGCTGTAAATATATTGTGCAAATGCTAGCAGTTATTGAGTCGAGTTGTAAATCAAATACATAAAAGGCCTATACCTAGACCCGTGAAACACTACTTCTTCGAAGTGGCTGGATTATAAAGCAAGGCGATGTTTGTAATAGATCCACGGTACCCAATCGAACTCTCACATCTTTATAAGTCTTCCAATCTGTCCTCCAACCCTCGGGAAAACACAATATGACCCATTCTGCCATGAATAGGGGTAAACAGTAGACGAGCTTTTGATATGAAAGGTTGTGATGGGATGTTGTAAGCCCTTCCATGGCAGAAATATGGTGTTGATGAAGCTAGAGATCGATGGAGAGGTGGGAAACTAGAGACAAGTAAAGTGCTTGTTAGTAGAGGGGAGATTCTAGTCCAATAGCACCTTTTAGATACCATATAATACCCATTGTTCTGATGCTAAAGAACTTGGAAAGGATTCGCATATGAAAGGAGTGACGTTAGAAGAGTCCAGAGGATAAGGAATAGACATAGAAAGGGGAGGATTAGTTATGGCTAAAAGGGAAAGGCTGCAGGTATGGGGTAGCTCCGAACTCCGATGGTCACCGTACCTAGCTCATCCCCTCACTCGGATTAATAAAGGCCCGAACTTAACTTAACTTCCCTTACACCGCCCTAACCTTTTACTTGTCGGTGAAGTGATTAAACTGGCATTACTTGAATCCTTAACTTGTTCAACTCTTGTTAATAATTCTTTGAATTAGTTTGAATCTTATCAAAACAATAAAACTGACGTGAAGAATCTGAGAAGATGGGTCGCAAGCCTAATCGTAAGTTCCTCAAGTTTGAATTTTCTCAATAACTTTAATTTCACACTCCCAAAAACTCGAGTCATCCTCCACCGACCTTACTCTATCCTAAACAAGACTGTTTACTGACCTTGTCAATATCAACAGCACTGATTCTTCAGCATTTTGAAAGAGGTGCGAAATTAAATGATTCGAGCAATCGCTATCAGCATACTTGCAGATCTTGTGGAGAAAAATTCCCCAAAGGAAGACTCGATAGCTTGATCAACCACATCATCAAGAAGTGCCCCGCGATAGATCGCACGGAAAAACAACGATTGGTTTTGGAATTCAACAACCTTCCCGAGCTTGCTGATCGCACACAAGGTCAACAAATGAATATTCAGAACGTGAATAGTCACCAAACAGCTGCGATTAATGGATCCTTTGAAGGAATGACTCCCCTTGAAACTTTAGCTGAGGTTTCAAGAGACATGGCAGAGTCAGAGCATCGAAATCATAGACCTGGCAATGGAAGTGCACGGGGTGGCAGCCAACCAGCAATGTCTCGAGGTGATAATCTTGAATTACAAGAGCAATATACGCTCGACAATCCGCCTATGAGCTACGAGTCACGCTCACAGCGCGACAAAAAAGGTAAACAATACTAATACATTTAATACCTGACTGGTGTTAACGTTCTTGCAGGTATCAATCAGAAAGGCCACGGTAACGAACTCAATCTCGGTCGCTCTCAATCTGCATCTCCAAACTCAATGGCTGCTACTGCAGCTGCTGCTGCTCGATTCATTCCATCGATGGTGGACCCCCAGCTCTTAAGCGAAGATGCTGTTGCTCAAGACAAGCTTTCTGAAGATAAGCTCACCCGTCAGCTCGTCGAAGCAAATGCAATGAGCGACGGACTATTTAACGGAAGCCCGGAGAATGCTCAGCATTCTTGGGCTATGCTTGATATTCCTATTCCAGTAAGCCAAGCCGCCGCTGTTCAAGCTATGCAAGTACAAGATCAGATGGCCCACTTGGGTCAAATGACATACCCTGAACATAACCATGCCGAAAATTCATTCGAACATAGTTCAGTCCAGAGTCCAAAACATCATCTACGAATCGCGATGAACCCAATGACAACAGAATTTAGCGCTGAGTATGGAAATGGTCGAAAGGCCACCAAACCTAATGTTCGAGGAAAATTCAATGAGATTCGCAGAAAGGAAGTTTCGGATATTAGGAGGATCGGTTCTTGCATTCGCTGCAGAATGTTGAAGAAACCATGCACTGCAGGAGAGGCTTGTGAAACTTGTAAGAGTGTCGAGAGTGCTCGTTTGTGGAAAACACCATGCATCCGAACCCGAGTTGCGCATGCATTTGAACTGTACTCCGCAAAACTTCACACAGTACTTGCGCATCATCAGGTACTTGCTGCAAAAGGTTCGGCCACCTTCCAGATCTCACTCTGGCTGATCGAGGTATCTCACTTTCCTAGCACCACAATCTACGCCTCGTTCCCATGTTTAGAAGCGCACGACGTTGATACTGGCCTCACTTCTTATATCCTCGACACTGACAACGACGATCTTTCCACTAAGCTTGAATCATATGCTAAGCGCATGATGCCAATCTTCATTGATAATGAACCTTCTCAATTTATTCGCACAACTCTTCAGACAGCTCTGAATGTCTCCATTCAAAAGCAGGATAATTTCCTTAGTCGTGCTTTAGAACTATGGACAATTGTTCATATCTTTGTTGACTCAGAAATCAGATGGGAAATGTCTGCAAAGGCTATCGCAGGTTTACCAGATGAAGAAGGCGGTCAGACTAAAGCCATTCTTTCAACTGAAAGATCTTTTGCCACCATTCACACCCAATTGAATGCTGCAGCTGAAACTAAAGCTTCTCAAATGTGCAAGGGAATTCTTAACGAGTTGGAGAGACGTCTGCTTAACAAAGCTTCAAAGGCTTCATTTGAACTGTTTTTGATTGCAGTTATCACTCTTAATTGTGTTGAGAAGTCTACATGGCTCTTTAAATGCTGGGAGGGCGAAGACTTTCATGGACAATGGCCACTTGAGAAGCGACCCCAAGAATTTGCCAATCAAGGTGATGATCTCATCAATGTTCTACAAATGATTTTGAGAATGAGAGATGTTCCACCTAAGATTTTTGTTAGACAAGACAATGGTGTTCTTGCGGTTGATGATGCATCTGAGCAAGTCATTCGTGATTTCTTTGAGCAAGTTCAACTTAATTGTAAGTTTTTTATTCTCGGTATTGTCCAACACAATCACTAACCATAAACAGTCAATGATGTTCATGATAAACAAGTTCGTCACTTCTTCGACCCAGCAGACTCTAGATCATATGAACTTCGCTACATCTCACGACTTCTCCTTCCTCAAGTTCCTAATTAACGAACTCCATTTCTCCTCACTTACGAACTTTGCTTTCTGTTTTTGCATCTTGCGGATCCATATTTGCAATGTTTTCGGCGTTCCATGCATGGCTTCCACGGCTTCCACGAAGCAGGGCGTATTACATAAAGGTATTCATGATTGCGCATATGGGTGGATAACTTTCCCTGGTTGAGGGTTGGTTATGGTTATGGTTGTGGTTATGATCAGAAAGGAGTTCGTGGTGCAAATTGTTTCAGTGTTATGTCTTCGTTTATATCACAATTCCCCTTTCAGGTTCTACTTGCATCACAGAAGATATCTAGCTATAGTATCCATCTGAGTAGACACAAGATTCACAGAAGATATCTGGTCATTCTTTAGTAAAAGACCTAGGACTCATATCAATGTACCTCACTTCTTTTTCCCCTTTACTTTTCCTTTTCTTTTCAAGATACCATACTATGTTTCAGCACCCATGGTACTTCAGACTGCGTAGGGCTTTTGCGGGGCCGAGCTACAAGTAGCATTCATTGAATTCAATGGGTGGGAATGCGTGGGTGGATATGTATAATAGGATCAATTCAATGAATAAATGAATAATGAAATATATGTGGGTTTCATGTGCTGTTGGTATTAGGTGATGTGATATGATATGATATGATATGATATGTGTAGTGAGCATCAGGTCTTTGCTTCATAATGAAGGCAAAATTCATATCCTGGATCCTAATACTTAAATCTTCGATCGGGAAATCCTTGGATACTCATATCGTCTCCCCCTTGTGTTAATTTTTCTTATATAGTACTATGCTATATTATACACAATACGCACTCCAACCACTCCAACCACTCCCCTCCCCTTCAATCCCCCAGAAGAAACCTCACACTGCTATCAAATCTTATAATCCATTTCAGCTTTTTGCTATATATATCTATTCATCTATTCATCTATTCATCTATTCATCTATTCATCTATTCATCTATTCATCTATTCAATAAGAAGTTAAATCTAAAACCCTCTCTACTCTAGTATATAGTATGCCACCCTACCATACCATACCATATACATACCTACCTGTAAATATCATTACATTTCATTTCGCTTTGTACTGTACTGTACTCGTAGATATAGATATAAGGCTGCGTACTAGCATAAATTGAGTAGTATATATCTTCATACAATCACCACCGACCAGTACATCATCTTTCTTATCTACACATTATGATGTTTTCTATTCTATTCTATTCTGTTCTGTTCTGTTCTGTTCTGTTCAATTATTTTCCCCTCTTGTTTTTCTCTCTATGTATGCTATATATACCTAGTATACAACTCCTCAATTACCCACCTAGTAACTCAACTACTTAACCACTACTCAAGTACACACCAACTCATATCCCAGACCTCAACTCCTCAGCTCCCCAAACTCCCAAATTTCACAATCTCACTCCTAGGTACTCCAATCAACTTTTCTTCACCTATCCTCCTATCCACCTCCTCTATACCTCCTCCCCTCATCCTCTCCTCCATCTCCACCCCTCTAGATTCTCCCAGATTACCAGTGCAATAAACTCTGTATATATTTACCATACTATCTATAATGAGTAACGTGCCCAATTTCCATGTCCCATTTCCCGTTTTCCATATACATAATCATATAAATTATATTCAAGTTATAAACACATAATACAAAGCCTATACTCATGTCATCTACATATCCATATCCATATTTATATACATATTAACATCTATCCTCATATTAACATCATACATCATATACTTACTCATATCAAACTCAAAACTCGTTCCCACTTCCCAGACCCAGACCCAGACACAGCCAGCCAGCCAGCCAGCCAGTCATTCATCTCTATCTCTATCTTTATCTCTGTCTCAATGTCACATCACATCACATCACATCACATCACATAACATAAATAACATAACACCACATAACCAACCAACCCATCACATTTGAAGACCCTGCCCTCCCTACAGTTATAAATTATAATAAAACATTAGATAGATATTCAGACTGAGTAATCTTACATTTACGATCCCTAGAATTGCACCCCCCCCAAAACATTGGGCAGAAGCACAAGCACAATTCACATCATCATCACACATAAAAGCCAAGTCATAAATCATCAAGAATAATAAGAATATCACGCTTCTATTTCAGGCCAAGGCCAAATCCTCCAAGCTTTTTCATTCATGGCCACGTCTCCATCCATCATTCCTCTATTTCAGCACAAGTCACATCATACAATCATCTACAATCCACAACCGCTGCAAAAAAAAGGCCATTTATCATCACTCTGAGAATTGTCCCATGCCTTCACTTGTCCATATGACCACATAAAAGGATCCCAAAATGTACTCACCCATATTATCCCAACTCCGGTCCGAAGATGACCCCACTCGGCTTTTACTTCCGAGCCCTTTTCACCATGCTATAACTACTTTCTGGCAAAGAAAAAGAAAATCCCCGCCAGCCACCAACCAAATCGCTATGCCATTGCAACAATTGAAAATGGAAAGTCGAATATGAAGACTTTCCCCGAGTATACGAAGTTTGCCAAAGCGATCAGCTCTAACCATTGTAATGAAACCTAGTGGCCTCAAGTCGGCCCAAGCCGTCCCTGGGAGCAACATAACGTCTCCGATAAGTGTTTGTAAAGTCTTGCAGTAAGCTGCGAACCTTGCGGACACCATCATGACCGACGCTGAGCTTCTCTCGAATGTTGTTCATCAATCGGTCGATTTCAGCCTCCCTGACGGTCCCAGTTGGCAGCATGCGTAGAATGCCATCAACCCAATTGGTAGTTTCCTGTGGTAAGATTTCGAAAAGACCAAGAAGAACGCCACTGCCGTCAGTAAAACAGTCTCCTGGGAAACTGATCATCATGCCTTTCATGATTCCTTTCACTAACTCATTACCGTTAGCAAGAATAAGTTGTCGAATTTCTTGTTGAATCTCGGGTGGATTTATGTTTGACACTGAACTTGAAGGATTATCACCACCGTAGCTGATGACATCTCGGATGTAATGCAAGACTGCAGACAAAGGTTCACGTTGCTCGAGATCTAAAGCAGCGATGGCAGCCCTAAATATTGGCGTAAACAGAGGCGATCGAATCATTTTATGAGGGTAGTATAGCAAAGCGTCAAGCAAGAGACGGTAAAAATCCTCGATAACATCAGGGAGATCTTGAGGTGGAAGATCAGTCATGGCCTTCAACATCGCGGTCGACTGGGCTTCAAAGAAGGTGTAAATTGATTCTGTGGTTTGCTCGTCAACGTGCTCTCTGTCCTCAGAGAACTCACGCAAGATAGCACTAGTAACCCAGAGGAAACAGCCTTGTCGTGACGCTGCGAAACCTTCTGCGAGTTTGTTGGCCATCTGAGGAAGGAGAGGAGCCATTGAAGTTCGATATGATATGATCATATATCTCCATGTACGACATACTCTCTCACAGATTGGAGTGAAAGTCATAAATGAATCTAAAATCGTCGACAAAATGGGGAAGATCTCCTGACAGTATTTCACTGCTGGATGGTCCTGATTTGGCTCAATCCAAGGAATAACAATTTGTACAAATAATGTGACCAATTGCATATGATCTGTTCTCTTGTCAGTGGGTTCGCTTATGAATTCTTGGAGAAACTTACCAGCAACCTTAAGCTTCGATTCTTCATCGTTAGCTTGATTTGCCAAGGTCATTAGTCTAGCCATCAATGGATCACAATACAGTTTCAAGAGTTGATATGTCTGGGTTGGTGGTTGAACAGCAACAACAGATGCAACACCTTCCGTTAATTCTTCTTGGCTGACTCCTGGTAGTTTATCAAGAGTCTGATCGTAGAACTGCTGCAATTGTACTACTTGGCCACCAAGCAAGTGCTTGCAATCACTGCAAATGAACTTCATCGCCATGGCAGCTGCTCGAACAATTTCCTTCGAGTCGGTTGTGAACGAGGATACAATGTACTGGAATTGAGACTCAAGAAATTCGGGATGGTTAGAAGTCCACTCCGTATAGCGACCTAATACCATAATAGTTGCAAATCGAAGTTTCTCGTGATGAGGAATCTGTACCAGGAGGGGTATAATCTGAGGAAGTATGATATCTTCATCTTTATCGACCAATCTTCCCATTGCACGCATGCCGAAGAGAGGTGCTTCAAGCTGTTGCCAATGTGGAACAGAGGCTTCGGTTGCATGACTAGCATAAGAACTCATCCAGGACTTAATAGCGTCGTAAACTTTTGTGAGGCATGGTGTGACGCCCATAATCTCACAACAATCTTTGAGAACGTCTCCCATGTGGTGACGGAACTCCCGAAATTTTTCCTCCGCATCCCTATCACCATCGAACAAGTCCGTTTCGTCTGCGCCATCTGCTGAAGGGAACTCCAAATGTTGCATCATGATGTCCACAAGACTAGAGTATACATCCACATATTGCATACGAGCTTCGATGTACATCTCAAGGATGAGATAGAGTTTGAGCTCGTACCAGAAAATGAAAGTCAGAGAAATTGCATCTTTATCGAAGTCTCTGTGAGTACACTCCAAAATTGCTTCCACCAAAGGTCGGAAAACATTGGGCTCACGAGCAATTAAGACAACCCATGCTTCACCAGCTTCGGCAAAAATGCGAGTAAATCCCTTGAACGACTCTGAATCTTCTTCCTGGGCAGCTTGCGCAATTCGAGGCTGAAGCGCCAATACACGAGGTAAAAGTATCTCGATGGTAGGCATGTACTCATCAACCTCGCGAGTCTCCTTGAATATAGAACACAGACATTCTGTTGCTGCTTCGAAAGAACGGTCGTTGTTTAAAGCATTAAATATTATCGGCAGAAGAGGTGAGTTGACTATGTCGGCAACAGGCACTTCCCGTAGCCAAGATGTAATGACTTCGAGTAGTTGTGGGTTTGTCGCTGCTGCTTCTGTATGATATCCTTAGCCTCCTGCAACTATATATAGGGGAATGAATACGTACCAGACGATTGCGCATATGCAATCAACAGTTGTACAACTTGGGCGGTATTATCTCCCAACAGTTCCTGAGTTCTCTGTTGAAGCTCATCTTCCTAATTGACGCATTAGACTTTGATATTCCCAATAACATTCCGACCACTCCACGTCGTTTCACATGCTCCGGGAATGGTATTTTTCGGCCCACATACTGTCAAAGTGATCTTTCGTCCCTCGGTGACTTCTTCGGGAAGAACTTTCAAGAAGTCTAGAACACAGGCGAGACTTTCTGCGGAGTTTCCCAATGTTGATACGACCATCGGTACCACATCCTTCCAGGCTGTCATCTGTATAGCTAAAATGGCCAAGCAGACGCATAGTTGGATTCGAATCGGTCGTGGCCCTGTCGCAAACACTTTCAAGAGCTCTAAGAGTTGATTTCGCAGCGCTGGCAAGGAGTCGCCTGGTATTTGTTGAATGTCATAGGTAATCTATAGAATTAGATTCGGATCTGAAGTGGGGTTTTGAGCATATACCTTTCCTCTCAGAGTAGTAGCCGCGAAGAGCTTCGCATCTGGCTCCGCATCTGACGACAGGATGCCAATCGTAATCTGCCATGCCTCCGCCTACGAAAATGTAAGCCTATGTCAACAACAACTGGTTTGGCGCAAAGTCATGGGAAAGCAGAACCTACCGACTTCTGGAAACTCTCTAGAAAACTATGTGCTGCCTCCTTTTGTCCTCGTTGGCCATCGCGCATAGTATTCAACGCCGCAATAACAGGAGTGAAAGCAATCTGCGGACCATTCCCGTTCGTCGAAACAGATACCATTTTGATGGAGGGGCAGGTCTTGGAGACAATGAGAGATCAACGGCGTGATGTAGTCATGTACAAGTTCATAAATTTATCAGCGAAGAAGTTGTGGGACATAAAGGATTTCGTGAGAGAATTATCAAAGGTATTAACAATATGTTATGAAATTTTCGTGGTTGTAGGTTTTTCTTTGCAAAGAATCAGAATGTTCTTTTGTTGTAAGTGATGGGGTGGACTTGCCCGCTTGATAAAGTTGGTTGCCACAGGGGAATAAAGTTTTAGTGCCATTTTTGAGCGGCAGCCTTGTGAAAGATACCGTTGAGTTGAGGAAACCGGAAACCCGCGTCAAAAATTTACAGAAATCAATTCTCTCACCACTTCAAGCTATCTATCTAGCAACCGTTCTGTTCCTTACAGATAATCTCTGTATACGTGTTTGCGTCAACAAAAATCAACAGAACTCATCATGAATAGAGGCGGTGGAGGTGGTGGCCGGAAGGTCCTTCTTCCTCCAATCAACTTCATTTTCAAGCTTCTCCAACAGCACACACCAGTGTCGATTTGGTTATACGAGCAATTGGGAATTAGAATTGAGGGCAAGATCAGAGTGCGCACATAAGATTTACCTTCCTTTCCTGTCGCAATATTTTGCTAATCGATGGGCTTCCAGGGCTTCGATGAATTCATGAACTTGGTGCTCGATGAAGCAGTGGAGGTTAAGCAAGCTACAAAGGACAAGCAAGAGAGTCGCAGGGCGCTGGGTTAGTTCTTGGAGTATAAACGCTCTGAAAGATAGATTGCTAATATGCCTCAGGACAAATTCTATTGAAGGGCGATAATGTGTCGTTGATTCAGAGCGCAAGTGGATAAGAAACCATGGGAAGGCGTACATTCAAAATGGGTTATTATGAGAACAAAACGTACTGCGAGACCCAAACCATGAGTTTTAGGGGAGTTCTTTGGTCATCTGGTTTCATATTGAGTTGTTTATATTGAGGTTGATCTAGTCTCTGCACACAAGACCATCTTTAATCTCACCATCTCCCACCAGAAGTCCGTGGAGAAGACTATCATGCTCTCCTACTGGCACTGAGATTTCAGCTCCAGACTTCAAGAATTGCTCCTCAAGAGCCAAACCATAGAGCAATACATTTGTTCCTGGATTCACTGGATCCGTCATTTGTGACCCTGATTGCTGCCTGTATCGATGCAAGAAGTAGTCATAGAACCCTTTTCCATGACCAAGGCGTCTTATGAAGTTGGTTTTAGGATCAACATCAAATGCTACACCGGGCAAGAGTATCATGTCTAGGCCACCTTTGCTCAAAACATTCTTCAATATACTTTCTCGTTCATCCACAGTCTCTGCACGGATTGTGGGTATTCCCCAACTATCTCTTTCCAAGGCTTCGAAATCTGCAAGGTTACGAAGGTCTACCATATCCATTACGGAACGGGGTGTATCAGGTGACTGAGATGTAGATTTATGAAGGTAAGGTACGAAGACCTGTTTGCCGGATTCCAAGGCGTGACGTACAATTGCATCAGTTTGTAATTCTCCAGTCGGCATAGCGAGATATATTCCTATTCGTTTGGCCTGTTGATATGGCTTGAAGTTGATGAGTCTATGAAGGACAGCCGCACCTAAAAACATTAATGAACTGGTAGAACGTGAAGCTGATATCCTAATGTGACCGAAAATACTTACTTTGGTCTTGTACAGAATCATTTGGGACTGTTGATAGCAGCTTTTTGATGGATAAACGGAGCTCTTTCTTGCTCGATTTCAGTGCGGCTGAAGCCATGATTGGTAGGTATTCAAAATTTCTCTTTGCACCAAATCAAACCACTCGATTTTCCTTAACTTATTAGACATGTACCGAAAGCAACTTACCTTTGCTTATTAATCAGTCTGGCAAAGAAAAGTCCCCTTAAGTTAAGCATAGATTTCAAAACGGATCTAGAATGCGCTATTAATACCGTTTGCGAAGTGGCGCTAAGTGTGGCTGACAGATTCATTAGCGACGGGTACGAATTCCGTTCCTATTGGGAGTTTATGCTTGAAACGCAAATGCTCACCATCAACAATCACATTTCAACACTATGGCACCACTCGTTCTCCCTTCAATATTAATTGCAAGCGCATGTTTACTCTCGACTGTATCTGCCATTCCCTCGGTAGATGAGCTTGTTGGAACATGGTCTACGAAGTCCGCCGCAGTGTTAACGGGACCTGTATGTTTCTATTCTTGGATCAGGAGAACTGAACACACGCTGATATTAAGGACTAGGGCTTTTACAATCCAGTCAACGATTCATTATTGGAACCTACCCTTACCGGAATCTCATACTCTTTCACGGCAGATGGTTACTATGAAGAGGCATACTATCGGGCGATCTCAAATCGTATGTATTGATTCACAGCATTCGGATAGCAACGAACGATACACGAAGAGCATAACTGATAATATTGTAGCTGCGAAGCCGAGTTGTGTGTCATCAATAATGCAATGGCAGCACGGTAAATTCGTCTTGAACACCGATGGGTCTCTTAGTTTGAGTCCCTTCGGTGTGGATGGGCGTCAACTAGAATCTGCTCCATGTACTGCCGATACGGCGACATACACACGATACAACCAGAGCGAAACAATCCAGGTTTGTTTTAGCTCTTCTCTACTTATTTGTTGTCCATATATAGGGATATAAAGAAGGGTAGATCGCTGACAGCCCAACTCTTAGAAATTCCAAGTCTACACTGATGCTTATACGAAATTAACTCGACTAGATCTTTACCAATTTGATGGAACACCTGTAAATCCGATGTTTTTAGCCTACAGTCCTGCACTGATGCTTCCTACCGAAACGCTTAATCCAACAACTTCAGCAACGTCAACTTCAAGCTCTAAAATGAAGCGATGGTTGGGTTATGGAGATGAGCCCGGAGAGCCTACAACGTCGGAAGGCTATGCTCTTCCTCTCAACAAGAATGCCAAGCATATCAGTCGCGGCATTGAGCAGCCTTCGCTCATCTATCGCATCGATCTCGACCTTCTTTGGTGGGCTGGAGTAGGAATGACCGTTTTCGGAGGCGCTGCATATCTATTATAACCACTTGGAGGCTGCACGAAAGACTGTGTTGTTCAAAGTTTGTATATTTGATGGATCAGGTTACGAGATGAGGCATATATATACCAATGGTGTCTGTAAAACCAGGCACGGGCGGAGTTTTTGAGGAGTCCCTTTTTCTGGGATACAAGAACTTTTTTTGGGTGGAGTAATCTTACTTCAATACTTAAGCAAGGGCGTTGGAATTTTTACATTGCGCTGGTTGTAATGCTTAGAGCTTTCTTTTTCTGATAACAATGCTAAAAATTTCACATGAAGTAAAGGATCAAGCCTGGTAATGTCTAGATCCAAATGACAGTTTGTATGTACATGATCCGGGCAATTCCATGTTCAAATCGGGCAACTCACTGATTATGTAAAGACTACATTAGCTATCTCTCCTTTGGACGTTCTCAGATATTCTATGGAAGAAGTAATACCTTCTACATCTACCATTTATCACCCAATCTTTATCTAGCCCTATGCTTTAATTATATTTCCATATTAGTACCCAGCTCAAGAAGTAAAACAGCTCCCCCAATCACCCCCTTCAACCGCAAAGCTCAAACTCTCCACAAACCTCACCAATCCACATCTGCCCAACTCATCACCACCACACATCTCTAATGGCAGCACGCGATCATTAACAATGACTCTCACCAACTCCTCACTCTCTCCTGCACACGTCATTTTCTCGACGTACATCCTTGCTGCAAATGGAACTGACCAACTAGCCGAATAGCCTTTCGTTTGCGACGTATTTTCTCGTGTCGTGTTTGATAATGCATGTGTGGAGTTATAGAGACCGAGGGCGGAAAAAATGGCAGTCATGTCGTTGTCGTGGCTGAAATCCGCGTAGAGTTTGATGGAGGCGTCGATGGGGAATGTGGCGGGATCGTCGTCGAGAGTGTGGTTCGTGGAGGTATGATCGTGGATGGGGTTATTGGTGAGGCGTGCGATGAGCTCGTTGGTGAAGCCTATACCTTGTGTGGGACCCAGTGGGTTGCCCCAGGAATAGCCGTAATATTTACCGAGGGATTGGTAGTAGTCGTATGCTTTCCAGTCGGCTGCGGTGAAGATATTGCAAAATGGAGAAAGAGTGCCGGTGGGAGAGGCGACGGTGTTGAAGGGACAGAGATCCATGAAATATAAGGTATCGGTATTGGTGAGGTTGGCCCCGGGGAGGTTTTTATTGAGACGGGATGTGATATTCGGGGTAAAAATTGACGCCCAGGTAGCTTGGGCAGAATCTCCAATGGTGGAGTCAAACCCATCTTCAAAGCTGGTACAGAGACCATGGTCGAGAGTGTTATTACTACCTGTATCTTCACTAATGATGAGGATGTCGTAAGGGTAGCTAGCATTTGCTCCGGACAACGAGTCCTCCAAGCGAGCAGAATGAAACCCTTGGGTCCAGTTTTGGGCAGACTCGACAACACGATCTTGCCCAGAAGAACGAATGAAAGGGGTGATAGTTGAAGCGAGGGACTTGTATCTGTTATAGTACTTGATACCGGAGTTGATCAATTCCTGTTGTCCAAATACCGTAAGCTGATCAGCTCCCAAAGAATATTCGTAATCCTTTATGAAGGTATAGCCTGCTCCATAGGAAGTCGTAGTGTTCTGGATTCTATCTACGAGAGCCGTATATGTTGCTGTCTTGCCAGATGTGGGGTCTCGAGCTCCATGACGAGACAAGATCTGCGCAAATGATATTTCACATTGATCAGGGACTGAAGCACTAATCTCCGAGGGAACTGCAAAATATGGCGAATATTGGCCCCAGAAATGTGAGATCTCTGGTTGACAATAGTATCCAGCATTGACAGTATCACATGATGAATTGGTAGGTAACCCAAAGCCTCTATATTCATGGTTAGCAAGAGCAACACACAAGGATAGCTTGATGGACAAACATACACTGCTGCCCAATATACAAGTCCCAATATTACAACGGCGGCAATACCCATATTGATCACTTTTCTCCTTGATCTTTTTTTGAACGTCCTCAGATGCTGCTCTAGACTCTGGAGAATATCATCTGAATCTGTGCTAGTAACTGGATCTGAATCTTCTTCCGACGAGGGCAAAGGTTCATATTTATATCTTTCATGGCCGACCATAGCGCGCCGCACTGCAGTGCGCTTTAATGAACGCTTCATCCTTGCGGCTCTGAACTCTCGCCTGGACAAGAGTATAGGAAAACTATGCCCTCAAATGGAAGCTTCCATTGGCTAGAATGTCAATTGATGGGGGATCTAGTATTAGCATTCGCGGCGCTGAACCTAAACCTTTTATGTTGTACAATTTCGGAGCATGTAGAGAGAACCTTTTCTCTTCAGAGCTTCCTATTTCGAGATAATCAAACCCCATTGGCAAGTATCATTGATGCTTTTTACCACGTGCGGCGATCCCCATGGATGTTAAATTGACCTGCATGCGTGTGACCACGTGATCTATCAAAGGTGGGGTGGGACAATCCCGAGTACGGGATTAATCATGCGAAAACAGGATAGGATTTTGGCTAGATACTGTGAGGAAACCAATCAATAGTATTAGAGTCACGTGATAATCTAGAGAGGGTACTTATACCCCCCTCTTCCTGTAGTTTAGATCAGCGTCATGTTTTACCCCTTCAAAGTTATACCTATCCTCAGTGTTTAGACGAATAGTTACTTTATCCCCCTCTGACCATGACTATTTTTCAGTGACGCTACGATTAGTTGATTGTTGTACGATATGTGGTTATGCCGAAGGCTTTCCTATGATTTCACACCTACCTTCACTCCTTTACAATACATATGATATTGCAGATAAATATAAAATAGCATCCGGGGTATCTAGTAGATAGACGCGCCGATGGTTTATACAATATCACTGTAAAAAAGCAAGATTTCCCCCAGTAATTTGTGTAAATTAATATTTTATGAACAATCTAGGAATTTTATGCACTTGATGGTACAGTCTATACTCCCCTAAACCGGGTATCTAATGTATCTACAAACGGCTGATAATTGCTCCAGCATACTCATGTGTCTTAGACTTGCCACCCAAATCACCAGTTAAGGTCTTTCCTTCTGCCAAAACGTCGAAAATGGCAGTCTCTATTCTCTTTGCGTGATCGTTCAATCCCATGTGTCTCAACATCATAATGGAACTGAGAAGAAGAGCGGTAGGGTTGGCAAGAGCCTTACCAGCAATATCTGGGGCAGATCCGTGAACAGCCTCGAAGATAGAGCATTCATCTCCGATGTTTCCGGAAGGAGTGAGACCGAGACCACCGATAAGACCAGCGCACATATCCGACAGAATATCTCCGTAAAGGTTAGGCATAACCAAAACTTTGTCGTTATATGGAGTTGGATCTGTAACAATCTTCAGGCAGGTATTGTCCAGCAATTCAGCGTCAAACTCGACGGCTGGGAAATCCTTGGCAACTCTCTTTGCGGTACTCAAGAAAAGACCATCACTCATCTTCATGATTGTGGCCTTGTGAACAGTTCGAACCTTCAACTTGTTGATATCCTGGGCGTATTGGAATGCGAATCGTAGAACACGCTCACTAGCCTCTCTTGTAATAAGCTTGATGCTTTGTACAACTCCATCTACCACGACGTGCTCAATACCAGAGTATTCTCCCTCGGTGTTCTCGCGGATAAGAACGGTGTCAACGTTATCATAAGGTGTCTTATATCCTGCGATTGAGCGACATGGTCGAACGTTGGCGAAAAGTTTGAAAGTTCGTCGAAGAGTAAGGTTCAAAGATACATGCCCTTTGCCGATAGGGGTCTAATATAGATTAGTACCGGACGATAGTAGAATAGCTGGGCTAAACATACGGCCAAAGGACCCTTCAAAGCCACCTTATTTCTGTTGATACTCTCGATAGTCTCTGCGGGGATGGAGGTTTTTCCGTCTCGGATTTGCGGGGTAACATCAACCGGTTCCCACTTGATGGGTGCCTTCATTCCTTGTCAGAATTGACTTAAAATCGTTCGAATATTCCCCTTACCTTAGCAGCCGAAAATATGTCCTTCACGGATTGCGAAATCTCTGGTCCGATACCATCACCTTCGATCAAACTGACTGTGTAAAGCCCCTTATAGAATGTCAGTAGCCGTGTTCTCAGAAGCTTCATCCGTTCCAATTGCCTTTCCTTTCCTTCCACGATGTGGTGTGCAGCATTAGAATCGTCATAGTTGGGGGATGCCTTACATCTGAGCCCTTTTGGCCGTGGAACTGCGCAATCTTCGCTCTCTCGGTGGCATATTGGCGGTAGGTCTGTAATTGTGAATAGTAAGCATGTGCCGGAAAGCTTGAATGTGAAATAACTGGATTGCAGCTGAAATTAGGAATATTTTTACCTGAACAGCGGCTGGTTTCCAAGCACGTGAAGATACTTGGACGCACTGTCTCCGCGCGGGGGCACCAATCGATCTGATTGCTAACATACTGGCTGCCAAAAAGTATTCTCGCCAAAAGTCGCAAGAATGGATTGGGAGTATAAGAGAAGAGGAGAAAAGAGAGTAATAAGTTCAAGAGATGTTCAGAGAAAGAAGATTTGAAGTCGCGGCTAAGTTGCGGAAAGTTGCGTTTTTCCTCAAGTAACGAGTTGCTACTTTGGTGTGGCTATCAATTCCGCTGTTCCACTTTGAGCCGTTTTGCCCCGAACGGATCATTCTATCGGTGCTTGATATCGGCAATTCCCGACTTGCGATCTAGATGATGCGCACACACACACACTCTCATCCATAACATCATACATTGAATATTGGTTGCAACATTGACATTGACATTGACATTGGACAATAGAACCTCGATATAACATAAATATACTCCAATAATTTGACTTATCATTTCAAGATCGGAATTAAGAAAACAAACTGGATGATATAGTTCTGGGATTTACGATCGAACAAATACTCTTAAATACTATTGCGATATTCTCGAATCAATCTCGATTTAATATGACGGACATGGAACGGACGATTTTGGACCATTATCAGCTCTCGACTCCATACCCCAATGAATGGCCGGCGGACAAAGATACGAGTGATGGTTCAGATGAGGAAGACAAAGCTCCCAAGTCAAATCAGAACCGCTCCGTGGCTGCAGCTGCAGCGCGCAGAAAGTCCAAATACTTCGCCCTCGAAAGAGCTAGTGATCGTAGAAGTCTTATTCCAAACTCACAAAAGTCCGGCGATGGAGTAGAGAATTTGGTCCAAAGGGATGAGCAAGATCCTCTGGGAACTACCGATAGTGTTGTTAGAATTCTCCGGCAACAAGGTTTACCAGTGCAGGATGATATAGCATTGCGTTTGTATCTCCGCCGCTTCTCTCAACCCTTCACTGACGGTACCAGGCAATAGGTTCCTCTTGTCGTCTACAACATTCTCACCCGCCTTATTCCTCTCGCAAGTTCATTCCACCGCCTCTACGCAAGAGCTATTACGAGGACTAGATCTACTCTCTAGATCAATTGACCAGAAATCCGCTTCCCTAAAGGTTCTCGTCGAATCGAATTTCGAGCGCTTCGTGCGTGCCAAAGCTACAATAGACAATGTTTACACAGAGATGAAATACCGAGGGGTTGAACCACCTACGGCTTCCCGTGCAAGACCTCATTCCCGACATGCCAGCAGAAGTAGTTTCCGAGCGAGTAGTGGCAATCAGATTGGAATGATGACTCCGGCGCCTGTGGATGTCAGAAAGAAGAATGCGTTGACGAAAGAAAGCGAGTACGGTGTGCTTGGGATCAAGACTCCCCTTTTAGACGTCTCAGCGAAGGCAGAAGAGGTATGGGGTCCCGCATTGGGTGGGAGAGAGAAGGAAGATGGTCTGAAGGTTATGGCTGGGACGGTTGATCGATACAAAGAATATTACGAGGTCAACGCTGCTATCACTGATAGTATCAAGAGAAAGGATTATGAAAGCATTGTCGAAGAATACACAAAAGCAAAACGATTCGCAGATGATGCAAAGAAACTTACTGAAACCTTGGGATCTACACCACCAACTGATCCTCAGATATACCAAATCCTTCTAGCTGCGCGCGTATGGCATGATGTTGAAAAGCAGATCGAGGACTTCAAACGCGATATATGGAAGAGGTTATCATTAGCGCAAGGTTCTGGTAGAACAGACGGATTCCTGGGCGCTCAGCAGGATCAACATATGGAACTGATTGGGATATTACTTGAATTAGGAGTCACGGATAATCCTATTTGGGTTTGGTTACTGAGTCGTTATGACTACCTAAAGGTCAAGATTCAAATAACTTCGGATCGCTCAAAGGTAGAGATCGAGATTCTACGACGACGACTGGCTAGTGCGGAAAAACCTGTACCTCAAATCATGGCTACTCATCTGCGGTCGCTTGGACGCCAAATTGTAGACAATAAACAGGTTTCAGTCGATTCACCAGATATCATCGAGCTATGGGAGAAGACGAATTCTTTCCTACACAGCATGTTTTCCACAGAAGGTGTTCTTGGCGAAGTGACAGAATTCTGGCAGACTGTTCAGAGTTTCATCGATGGTAGAGCGCAGAAAGTATTACCCGTAGGCATTAATGGGAAGTCTCGAGAGCATCATAGGCTTTCTAATGAGAATATTGTCAGCCTGGAACAAGGAACAGTTGAGCTCGTAGACATGCTCCGGGAAAGTGTATACGAATTGTTCGTCGATCCTCCAATTGAGGATATTTCAGCGCTGTTTTCACCTCTGCCACCGACCCCACGTACACCGATCCCAAGAACTCCCAATTCATTAACTCCGTCTGCCCTTCGAGGTTCTCAATTCACGTTTGATCCCAATAACTTGCCATCCCCATCTCCTAGACGAGGTGAGGCCTGGGAAAAATTTGCATTCTGGCCACCGTGGTCAAATTCCGCCAGCGGAGTCCATTATTTAGCCAAATTCCTAGCGCTCGTAGGATCTGGCGCAAGCGAGATGTCAGGAGTGTCACCTGTTGTCAATGGAGATGGTTCAGCCTTGGAAAGATTGAAGGCTCTTGTTGGAGCAGCGCGCGAAAGATGCGTGACTGCAATACTCGCAGCTTGGAATAAAGATGTCGAAAACATCAAAGTCCTGGAAGATTGGAGGCGTTCTCCAGAAAAACGAGATTTGACCAGGATGCCAGCAAATTTCAGTGCTTTTGAAAGTGCAATCCTTTCAGGTATGCAAAAGATTCTTTACATTTCTGATGCAACAATTAAGCCAGGCTCGGCCGAGATCGTTCTTCCTCCACCAGCCAAGCTCTTGCAAATGGTTCGTAGTCAATTTGTGACGACCCTTTATAAAGCGTTGAGTGGGATGGTAGAGAATGCAGAAAGATCTGTCAAGAAACCAGAAGATGATTGGACGGCTGATACTGATGGTTTGGCTACTCCTGTGGCGATGGTTATTGCCACAAGCATGGGTGCTGGAACTGTCGATGCTAGTGATCGCGTAAGTTAAATCTCCCTCCTTTGAGAACTGCAATTAACATTTATAGAATGTTCGGATGCTTTTGACCCTTAGCAATCTACAAGCACTTCGTGTCGATGTTGTTCCAAATCTTACAACACAATTTGAGAACGCTTTCTCCGTCAAGCTTACAGAGGAAGCTAAGACAATAAGAGATGTCCTCGGACAAATCGATGCTCGTCTTTTCCAATCGTATACTAAGCCTACTGTCGAGACTCTTCGCGCCATTGTACGTCGTGGAGTTCTAGCACCGGATTGGGCGCCAACCGAACAACCAAAAGAAGTTCGTCCTTATGTATACGGGGTTCTACTATGTCTTGTTATCATTCATACTCAAGTCTCCACGACTGCCTCATCTCTCACTGCTCAAGTTCTTTCTTATCTCTTAGAACAAGTATCTCTGGAATTTTTAGAGGCCTTCAAACAACGCCAGCGATTCCCTCTCAATTCTCTCATGCAAGCTACTCTTGATATCGAATTTGTCGCACAGACCATGAGTCAATATACCACGGATCGAGCAACTGAGACTTCGAGTCAAATTTATCAGGAATTAGATAAGGGAACAGATGGTGAGGCCAGAGCAAGGCTACAAAAGATATTGCCAGGTATGAGAGTTGATTTGAAGAGGTTGAGGGAGGCGAGTAAGAGTGAATTTGCTTGCTTCAAGAAAGCGAGGAGTGGAAATAAGACAGATAGAACAGTTAGCACTAGTACGCAAAACACCATTTAGGTAATAGATCAAAATATTGTTGACTTTTTCAAAAATCAATTCATCATAATATTCTCTTACACTTCTCAAATGTTATCCTCCGTTGTCCAACTCACTCCTAGACATTGGATGTCCCATCTTGCCATACCTGTCTAAACTATTTTCTTTACTCAACGTAACGTCGAATATCAAATCCTTGGTCGGTCAGTACATGGAACATACTACAAAAAGTATAAATATGTATGGATGTTAAATATCATAAGAATGTTTTAAATTCAATAGGCCGTAAATTCATAGCTACATAGACCAGGCCGCACACTTACTGAACCCCACTCCAACACACAACACAACACAACACAACACAACACACACCTCCGACCTCAACCAGTCCCTTCCACCATGAGCTCCTACTATTCTCTCTCCTTCCCTCCCAAAATCTTCGCACCCGGCGTCCAAAGATCCAAGAGCTTCTGAACCACATCATCACCCCTCTTCCAAACCACCGGAATCTTCATGCCATCCTCCTCCTCGCTATCATCCGAACTCTCACTATCATAATAACGCTGTCTTACACGTCCATTATTTCGACGTCGTCTCCTCACTCGCCCTCGTCTACTATCATAACTGGAATCACTATCGCTACCCGAGTATCCCGACGAATCTAGATCACTCATACTCACACGTCTATTTCTCCCATGACCTCTTGGTCCAGATCGTGGTCTTCCATACTCAGTGAACGCAGGCGGTGGTGCACGAGATAGAGGTGGAGGAGGAGGAGGTGGTGGTGGTCCCGAAGGCATGGGTTGCGGAGGACCAGGTCGGGGCGGTAGTGTATTATAGAAATTTGGAGGAAGAGGGGGTAACGGCGGACCTCGCGTCATCAACACATTATAAACATCCGCAGGTTTATATTCTCGCTTCAGCGTTCGTTTAGCAATCAAATGCATAATAGTAGCACTTTGTGCACCATTGCCTCGACTCCCGTGATTGATTTCTCCCGTGCTATCGTAAAGACTGAGCTCGACCCAGCACCATTCAAATCTGTAGTCTCTTTCTTTGAGCAGTATCTCTTCCATAACTTGCGTCATGTGGGCAGATTGCAAATCGGTGAGGCGCAGCTTGGCGTCGATGATGGATCCGCCACGCTGCACGAATGAATTTATGTGTGCAAGAATGTCGGTTTGTGCGTTGGGTTCGTGAGTTATGACGATGCGAGACCAGGTGCGGGGCTGGTTGGGTTCGACGGGCTCGGCGAGGCGAAGTGTGTATTCGTTGTAGGTTGTGAGGGCGACGAATGATTCGGCATCGGTGTAGATGGTGCGATCACTCATGTGGAAAGTTTGTCCAGGGATAGGTGGAGGTGGCGGAGGGTTTCTGGGCGGAAAAACAGGAGGCAAGTAGCGTCCTTGTGTACCAGGAGGGCATGAATTAACTGCTGAAGTCAGTAATATACCGTTTTTTACATTGAAGGGTACTAACATGCGGGTGGACGTGGGCCATCTGGGCCAATAAATCGAGGCCTATTTAAAGCATTCAGAGCTGTAATTGGAAGAGGTTTAATATTTGGAAACATTGGGGGTGGTGGAGGCGGTGGAGGTGGAGGTGGTAAAGATCCTCTGGCGCCAATAAAAGTTCGAGGTGGAGGATAGAGTGCTCTCCCACAGTCTGGAGGTGGCATAGTTCCATTCGCTACCCATGCTTTCCTCTCTCCATCGACCAATGGCTCCCGAAGAATAGCCAATATTACTCGGCCATTTGACTGCTGAGGTAGACTAGCAGTGCGAAGCTTTCCAGCCAAACAACACATCCACGCATTGTTTTGATTTTCGGGCAAAACCTTAAGTGCCACTATCTCTCGACGCAAGTCTGTGGTCCCAAAAGGATGAATAGCAGTACCGAGGACATCGTGTTCAGTTCTCGTCAGCTTACTGTATGTTTCAAACCAACTATTGTTATTCAATTGGCTCAAAATTGTTCGCATGTGCGTAGCTTCGAGACTGTGGAAAGCGGAGTGAGGAATTGGTCTGATGTCAACGTTTTGAATAAGGAATGCTTCGAGCACGCTTGACGTGTTTTCCAATACTTTTTTCATCTCGGCAGCAAGAGAATCTTTACTTCGAAAAAGACTTTTGATCTTGAAGCTAAGTCGGGTGTGCGAAGAATTGAAGAGGCGACCTTCTTGTGCCGAGGACCTTTTGATGTTAGAAAATGAGAATGATAGAATAATTGATGTACTCACTCGTGCGGTTTCTTCGCAATCTGCTGTTTCTCGACCTTAATTTCACGATTTGTCATATTGTCTTGACATTTCTCATCCGGGAAGATATGTGGCGAGCTCAAAGGATTTGGCAAGGGGGACGTTTGCTTCAATGGTGGTGTATCGAGGCCCGTATGGCTATCGTATGAGGGAGGATTGACCTTGATCATATCAGTAATTATACGAAGGTAGTTTGAGAGAGATCAGATATTATGAATCTTAGAGAATGTTTCTCGCTTATACAGTAACATACGACGGAGGGTGTTGGAATAACAAAGTTCGTTTCCGACTTATTAGATATCGAGCTTCCGTCTGCCAAAGAAGGCAAAGAAAGAAATTGAGAAGTTCACTCACATTTGGGGTGGTCAGATTAACAACTCTCGGGGCAAATGTAGACAATGGGGGTCCCAACGGCCTTGCCGAATTTGCCTGAAGAGGAGGCGGTGGAGCGGTACCCATACAGCTGGTTGGTGGAAGACCACCTCTAAATGCAGGTGGAGGTGGAGGACCATTTCTAAGCACATGTATAGGTGGAGGCGGAGGACGTCTTCTCCTCGAGATAATCGAACTATCGTCACTATCGCCATCCGACTCGCTGAGCGTGTATACAGAGCTACTACGCGAATGAAATCCGCGACGTCGACTTGATGGAGAGATACGAATGAGATCAGCTGTGCGATTGATTCGCTCATGGTAGCTGACGATCTTTTGAATATCAATTTTTCCAGAAGATCTATTTTTGGTAAGTAATTGATTCCAAGCGGATTAGACTGAACTCACAAATCTCTGGAAAGCGAGCCAACGGTAACAACTTGGTATACCAAGAGAAGATGTAACTGAACCTCCTTAAGTCGCCCCATGTAGGCACATATATCATCGTTTGCGCGATACCATATTGCGTTTTCAAGGTCGTTCAAGAACTTTTCCTCGTCAAGCTTTAATTGCATTGGCACCACAGGTGCAATGATCTCCGCTTTTGATTTCTTCGCATTCTTGCGCTTCTTCTTTCGTTCTCTCTTCAGGCCCGCTTTCGCAACAGTAGGAGCAATCTTGGCTAAGATGGTAGCGCATTCTCCTTCCAGGAAACTCACATGTCTAAGCCCCTCTTCGCTAAAGAGTCGATTTTGGTTGGTGCCAGCGTCGTTTCGCAGAAGCACGCCCAGTACTTCGTTCAGCGTGCCAATGGTAGAGTTGACGAGACCAATATGCTCTTCAATCTGGTATGGTACAACGGACTCAATCTCCAGGACGAGTCGATGTCTATGGAAAACGCGAGAAAGCTGACCAGCATAGGCCAAGATGCTCTCCAAGCTCTTCACTACATCTGTCGCCGTGACCCTTTCCATTCTTGCTGCGCCTTTGACGATGGAAAAATCAATAACCCAAGTAGAATGAAGTTATTGAGTGAAAGTTCTGAAGAGTAGATAGCGAGTATAAAAGGTAATGAGAAAGGCCAGGCAATCAGAGCAGATGTATGCTGCCTATTTCCCCAATTCAACCCTCTCAGAGTGAGGCTGACTGGCTGCATATGCTTCATTGGAACCAATGGAAACAAATGTTATTTTAAGCCACAGGTCGATGATCATGCAGGAAGCACGCATCTTTTAATTTGTTGGTAAAGTGTTTGGCGTTACACAGATTGTCAATTCAAAACTCACCGACTGGAATCTGTATAATCGGTAATGGCCGTCTAGAAAGCCACCTGCAGATCAAGATAATAATCATCTTCTCTGTAACATATTTCGGAGCACCTCGTGAAGGAAAATGGGAGTCAATATATCAATATCGCCCTTACTGGGGTAGACCCGTATCTGACCCGAGCATTTGGGGGCGAAAGTGTAAATTCTGGGAAGTAAACCTGGACATTGCCTCTCTCGGAACATCCTAAATGGAGACTACTTGAGTAGTGATCATAGAAATATGTCGGCACCCGCAGACCGGTCAGCTTACCAAAAGTTTTCCTCATAAGCAGGGCGATTCGTGTTACATTTCACTGCATGCCGATAAAACTGACCAATGCTGATACTGCATTTACGGCACCATGAATAGATGAATGGACACCGAGTTTATATTTCTCTACACCATTTCAGCATAACCCCATTCAGGCCCTCAACGCTACCGGGAATTTCCTCCAATGCAATATCAACTTTCCACATACGACCTGCAATTCCACCTACTTGTGCCGCACCAATAGCTGCAGATATAAGCAAATCATACTCTACCAATCGTTCCCATGCCCCCAACGCGACATCCCTTCCCCAGACCTTAGCACTTCCTCCTAAAGCGGCAACTCCGGTGCTCGATGTCTGTATCTTATGTCTTGATGTTAAGGAGCTATACTCGTCGTAAGCCATTGCGAAATTGCAAGTATCCGTGTCAAGGATGATGTCAAGTCGTGCGGCAGCTATCAGCATAGCGAGCTCCAACTCGGATAGACCCTGAAGGATGTGAAGTTTAGAGTCCGGCGCTGACAGTGCCATGTTACTCAGGTTGAATGACTGCCCACGCAAGGGAAAGTTCTGCATTGAAAGAGTTGCTATGGCCAGGATAGCGGAGGTGAAGAATACAGGCACCGATTTAGACCGGTAAAAATGTGATTGAATATGATGCTTAAAATTTGTGTCGTTGTATAGTTTCTGATAGTAGTATCAGTTATGTGTGAGTGTGAGCAAGAATTGGGGGGTTACCTCAATCATGACCTTCCAGAATGAGAGGAATGCACTCTGTCCGGGAGCCGAAATATCAAACCCCTCGTTATCGTAATCGTCGCTATCAACCATAAGACCCTCTTTACACACTCCCCAGAATGCTGGAAGACTTCTAGGTAACGATAAGTGCACATATCGGTGACTAAAGCGACTCTTGACTCTCTTTTCTAGACTCTCGACTACATCCACACGAGTGGTGAGACCAAGTACAGCAATAGGCGCTTTCTTTGATTGTGCTATGTCAAATAGATTATAAAGTAAAGTCTGTCGAGAGTGTGTCGTGAATAGGTCAAATTCGTCGAGTATGAAGACAACAGACTTGGCAGCGTGGTCTGCCTCGATCTCTGATATCTCTGATGGATGGGATAGTAGAGCCAAAATGGAAGCTAGCGTATCAGCGTAATTGCTAACCTGTATATAATGTTAACACTGGCATGATTATAGACCGAAGAGATCTTTACCTTGCCGTTAGAGTCATCTTCAACCTCCATCTCCCTTCCCAGCTGTCTCCATATTTCGCGCAGCGCTAAGCGATCATCTGTGTGAACAAATCCATTGAGTCTAACAACATGAAACTTTTGTCTGTGGTTCTTTCCGATATCTGAGATCACAGATTCGACCAGCTGTGCATGAATCAGCTTAATGTTAAAAGATATTGAACAATGTATCTTACAGTAGTCTTTCCAGAACCTCTTGCACCGATAATCAACATAGAATTACCCTCACCAGACAAAACGGTCTGCTCGACAAGCTGATGCACCTTATACACCTCATCTTCATGTCCGTGGATCCTCAAACGTTTCTGTCCGGTAAGCCGATCCAGTAGTACTCTTTGCATTGCTTTTAAATGAGTTTCAAATCCTTCAATGCTGGGGACTTCATTTGATATCGGACCCAGATCTGTTTCCCCATCGAGCAGATCATGATCTACGTTGTAAATGCACTCTTTACAAAGCCACTCGCCCCGAGGTTTCTTGGGTATATTGCCACAGGTTTGGTGAACAGCATGATCACAATTCTCACATAGAATAATTTCATTCGGTTTCTTTGACTCCAGTCCTTTGCAAACTGCACATGCTATTTCGTCATCCGATTCATTTGCAACATCATCTTGAACAGCTCTTGCTGCCTCCGCCGTTACCTTGGTTTTCTGACATTTTTTGCAGAACCAATCTCCATCAGGTATTTTCGATACACTATAACATTTTTGGTGGACAGCGAGGGGGCAACCGTCGCAAAACAAAATGAGGTTCGGGGGTTTCGAGTCAGGCTTCGTACAAATCTCACAAACAGGATCGTTCTCCTCACCGTTATCATTGACTTTCGGCGATGTAGATGTTATGATTTTGCTCAGCGACGTTTTGGGAATACGTGCCTCGGACTATTTCGCATTAGTACATAGTCTTTATGATGATAAATGATAATATCTTTCAAGGCTGTCCCATTATGGGCAGTTTTGCCTCGCAAATCTGTTTACATACCGGGATATCTTTGAAGCCCTCTAAACCATCCTTGCCAGGCTCATCAAACGCAACACTCTTTTTTATTGTCGAGTTCCTAGACTTACTAGGCGTCAAGATACCTTTTGGAAGTATGGCTGCAGAACCCGTCAGATCATCTATTATACGTTCTGGCCGGCCACGTTTTGGTGTGCTGGACCCAGGTGCCCCAGTGGTGTTTCCTCGAACTACCGAAGTTCTACTCTTTGAATCGGAGAATCTCGTCGATCGACCACTGGATGGTTTCGTACGTGTCTCAGCACGTTCAATTTCTTCGGCAGTAGTTTCTGTTTCCCTATGCTGTTTGTTCTTCGCGGCTTCATTTTGGACTGCCTGCCGTGATAATGCTTTCGCCCTCTCAAGGCCATCTTGATTCTTTCGCGGTCGCCCAGGGCCGCGCTTTGGGGACGGAACCACTACATTCACAGCAGGCTTTGCCGCCTTAACGGTTTTTGCTACCGGTTTGGCATTCGTTTTCCCTCGTGCCTTTGTATTTTTTTCTTCTTCATCATCCGTAACCTTGATGTCGTAGATATCCTCGCTCAATTCATCTCCGCTGCCTTCCGTATCCTTCTTGGCGCCCAATCCGAGGAGTTTCTTAAATCTTTTCGAGATACCGCCAAGTGTAGAAGTAGGCGCATCTACCTTTCGACGTTTCGCTGCTGATGATTGCGTTCTTGCAGGTAATGGGGATAATTCGTCGGCTTCGTCTGAGATCCGAGATCTAAGACGTTTTCGTGTACTTAATGGTTCTGAGTGTGCCATAATCAAGCAACGTTGAGGCTCGTTTTTTTTTCAATGTCCTATGGGATATTCAAGTCATTGGCAATTTTTGTTACAATCATATGGAGCTCCTGAATATGAATGAACTATTAGAGGTTGCTCGGGAGACGCGTTATAAATTAAAATAGCGCTAGCGGCCGCTGCACTTTCGCGTTCCTTGTGCCGTACTGATTACAATCTGCTAAATGATTTAAATAAGTCTGCGAATACCGATACATGATATTCTAATCAGGCCGAGGTGTTTGGAAGATACTCATCCGAAGTGAATCTTTCAATGAGCACAATATTTACTTTGGGCTTGGTCACTTCTCACACAATCAATGGATACAGCAGGTACAAGTGTACCCGCCTTGCTAGTGCTCATTGAGGTGGAGACTTGAATGGGAGAACCAAAGTAGTCAGTGGTTTTCGGCATCCTTTCACGACAAGAATACCACCAGATCCAGGTCGCACTATCGCACTGTCGCGACCTGGATTTGGCAAGTCATATCTATGTTGTGGAAGTGGATAGAAAATCACTTCCAACCATTGTTTGGCTGTCTAGATGTTGTTCTGCGATCCAAGTGGTTCACTGGGGGCGGCGGCTCTTACTGTAGAAATTTCCTGGACACTTGGTTCCATCTCAGTAACAGTGTTCATCTCCAGATCTTTTCCACCGATCCATTGTCTTGATAAGAGGAAAATGTGTGGAGAAAAGGACCTCCAAATATCACTGTTTCATTCTTCTATTCATATCCCGTCTCAACATTTTATGTCCTGTCGAATCTTTAAAATTCATCAAAACTATCTTGCAGTGTAATGCCACCAAATCGCAATTACTAAACAGCTCAGGACACCCAACTCACTTTATCTCAAAACTCACAGTGAGAGTACTAGTAGTTATGGTAAAGAGGTGTTAACTTGTACTCAATCTGGATACTGTATTGGAAATACAGGAATCTCGAGGTTGAAGCCAAAACTACGGTACCAGATCCCTCAATAATTAATGGACTCAACGGGCTCAACACTAAGCACCACCTAGGTGAGTCTAGCTCTAGATTAGGAGATGAGGCTCAAACGGTTATGGCAACGACCTAGGTAAAGCTAGATATGTCACCGAACCGAATCAGCCAATTCAGAGTCAGGATTACAAGTCTCTATGCTCGATCGAGATGTAATCGGCAACAAATGAACTGGAATGGTGTGGGATAATCTTTGGAGAGCTAGGGTTATGTGCGGGGTGATTATACATTTGGAGATGGTTTTTGGAGGGTTCAATGGGTGAATGTAAGATACATGATACACCGGCAGTTTCTGCTTAAGTCTCTAAGTTACATTCAGGAAAGACGGCTTTCACGTTCTTTATGTATGTTCTCAAAATTTCAATTTCATGACAATATTTTCTAGTACATATTCAACTTTCTCTGAAAGTTGCGCCCTCTGGCAAATCGCTGTGAATATACCGATTTCGTTCATGTCACTCATCTTCAAAAGATCATGGATGTCCAGGCCATTGTTGATGTTCCATAGTTACTGGCTCACTTGATATAACGAAACAAACTGAATAAGTGAAATCGTTTCTTTAGTTCTTCCGAGTACCGTTCCCATCATTCATTCATTACCATACATTCCCAATATTCCTTATCGCATACTTCCATTTCACAAAATAAACTCATCAAGCACCGGCATGCAAGATATAACCACCATCAACCGCCACCGTCTGGTCATTCAAATACTGGTTAGTAGTCACAAACAATATCGCACCCGCCATATCCCGATCCTTACCCGGTCTCTTCGCAGGAACCTTCTCATACTTCTCCTTCTCAATATGACTCTTCTGATCCTCCCCACTCTCTCCCCCCGTCGTCATCTCACTCGGGAATACACCCGGCGCAATACTATTAATCCGAATCTTCAACCCATTGCCCGCAACTTCCGACGACAACATCTTGGTCAAATGGATCGCCGCGGCTTTGCTAGCGTTATATCCAAAATGATGTTGCGAAGATTGCACAATACCGGAAATAGACGAAATATTAATCACGGTTCCAGAATATCCATACTCGTGATCTGAAGCCTTTTGCAGCAGCGGCAGAAACGCCATGGTCATGAAAAACAACTGCGGAACATTGGTCCGATAAGTATTGCACCAATCATCAAACGTAGAACTCTCATCATCAAAAAGATTCTTCTTCATTTCCTCAGCGGTCTTCGCTTCCGTTTTTTGCGTCGCTCCTGAAGTTCCCGCATTGTTGATGAGGATACTGAGACATTTCTCGCGCGATTCAATTTCCGAGACGAGTCGTGCAATCTCGTCTTTGCGTGTGATGTCGGCGACGATGGGGATGATTTCTCCAGATATGTTTTGTCCGTGGTGTTGGATCACGTTGGTGAGTTTTTCTTTGGTGCGGCCCACGATGTATACTTTGGCGCCGTTGACGGCGAGTGCTTGGGTGGCCATTAGGCCAATTCCGGATCCACCGCCGGTTACGAGGGCTACCTGGTTTGTGTGAGTTTTCTGGTTCATTTGACCTACTAGGTAGATATATAATGGAGAAGGGAATAACTACCTTGCCCTTGACATCAAACACCTCGCTCAAAAGAAAGTTCTTGTTTGTATCCGACATTTTGATTTTAGAAGTTGAAAATTGATGTGAAGTTTGTTGGGACTTGGGATTGAAGTGTTGAAGTTGGGAACTGAAGATGGACGACTTCATATATTTTTGAGGAGGGAATGTGGAGGAAATGCTCCGGCATAGAATTCTGCAGATGCTTTGATGGGATGAGATTGAGATTGACGTCATTATTGAAAGAGGTCTGGGGTAATTGATACGTAATAATGCGTTTCGAGACATCTTTGGAGAGGGCTTGGTTGTGATAGAAAATGTTATGTATGAACAATGATTAGGATGATAGGTTCCATGAAGTTTTGTGGAATTTACTCAGTCACAACCCCCGCGCGTAGAAGAAAACAGTTCACTTCGAAATAGAATATTCACATGTATAAATTACGTGAAGATCTCCCAAACCGGAAAGGAAATCAGAATAGAATATGCAATTCCAAGATAATAGGAATTCGTCCATGTCAATATCAATTCCCATCTTCCTAAAATCCGGTGATGTCATATAGATATCCCCGCATTTATTTTCAATTATGGATGACGTTTAGCAGTTAGGAGAGCAAACGCGGTATGTGTCACGTGACTTTTATCGACTACATCTATCTAGACAAGTTTCTGTCTATTGATCGATGTCTCAATTATAACTTCAAATACAGAAGTAATTGGGCTAGCAATACTGACCTAATTTGACTCTACTCGGCGGGATCTTTGAAGAAGGATACGCAAAATTAAAATAGCAATTTATCCGGCAAAGCCCGAGGGGCCTAGATGTTCGCCGTTCGGCGCCAACCTCTTATATGTCTGTCGCTTTTCTGGATGAGGTATGCTCTTGTGAAAACCTCCAATGGTAATCTTTCGGTCTAGATCTTTTTGTCACGTTCGACGACTATAACAAACTGGATGTTCATCCAAAATTGATCCTGAGGTTCTACTAACATCATCATCATCATAAAGTGTAGACGATTTCCCATACATAAAACAAGTGGAATTGGCAGCCTTGCTCACGTATCTTATATTTATCCTCAACCCTTTCGTAGATGATATTTTGTCAAATTGTCACAAGTATCCTGTTGCTAGTAGCTCGAATGCGCGGGAAGATGTGGGTCTCTTTTTATATGGAAACGAACAAACCCTAAAGGGGTTGGCAATTAAAAATAGGTTGTTGTCTATCAAGAGGCTTCCGCAAAGGAATCAGACTAGCATTCTAAGGCGCTATTCAGGGTATGATATTAAAAATTCGGGACGAGTTTCTTCTTGCTATAGTGTCCAAGTAATGATTTTATCTAAAGTTATTTAGCTCTAGTTAAAGAATAAGTCAAAGAATGGGATAATGCAAACAGACATATTATTAGGATATTACAAGGATTTTCGTATTTTCATTTTGTAATAGCCCTGTAGCAAAATGAAATTTGTATCTCCTGGCAATAGAAACGCTCGATGGATTACTTCTAGACTATATATTCTGTAGCTAATACTATCACAGCAATATATATATCTACCTATAGCATAGTAATAGTCTATAGTATATCAAGAGAATGTTTCTTTGGTTAATTTTCTGTAGCCATCTTTAAGAGAAACGTGTTATCGGGCTGACATTGAGAATACCTTTGGTGCTGTAGACTCATATTTCTTTTTGTACAAAATCATTGAAATCCTATGGAGGATAAGGTGAAAATCTTTCAAAATTCGTCTGCCTAACAGGTTCTTTTTTCGATGCAGGTGGCTGTCTGCATTATTCTATCTACAAAAGCAAATAACTAATTCCAGATCTCATCTTGTTTATTACACAGTGGTCTGATTAAATGATAGCCATATATCATAATAAAACAAACAAAGCCAGTCCTTTCCTCAACTCCAACTCCAAGTACAAATATCGAATGTTTGCAATTTCTAATCAGTATCAAAAGCATCCCATTGTCCAAGAAGCAATGTGTCCCATAATTTTGCTCGTTATAGTTATCTTTGTGTTGATCGGATTTTCATGTATGCTCGCTATAGCCATCGATGGAATCGTACGCATCGTACATCCATGCCAATTCGAATTGCACTTTGAAATTATTCTCATCACCCAAATGGTGCGCCGGCGAGGGAATACGCCCTACGTTCATATAGAGCTCCTCAAAGACGAGAACGATGATCAGTCTAGGATAGGGATATGTATACGGGTATGCATGGCTGGGACAAATATCTACGCCTATGTTCACTAATCAAGAGAATTCATATAGTCGGAATCACGAGAATGGGAAAGTTGTCACTGTTGATGTGAATGTTGAGTAGCCTGAAGAACTGAAGAGGTATCGAGTAGTGGTGGAAATAGAAACAGATGAAGGCATGCTATATGGAGTGAATGAGAGAGGAGGGGTAATACCATATATGGCATACGAAGAAGTATGGATATGGTTTGAAAAATTGAAGGTAGTTTTCAGTGTCGAGTGTAGAAAGTGGCACTGTTGATGATTGGGATATCGGGAGTTTTGATCCATGCCTTTGATGGTAATCAGTGGAGCTTGAAGAATGAAGGGGTGGGTGATGAAATCTGAAGGGAAAGACCGTTGGATAATAGGAAGGAGGCATTTGGAGTGTCGTTGCGGAGGTTTAAGGTATATGTAGATGGAAATAGGGATATCAAATATAAAACAGGCGCAGATTGAGAAGATAGAGCTACTTATACTGATATCATATTCTTAATGCAAAACAGAAGCATCTTGAATCTTTGAGAATTAATAGTTGCTAGTAGTTTATTAGCCTAAATTCTCCTATCCCCTCCATCATCCCTATAACGATTCTTTTTGGACTGAATCCAAAGGATGAAAAAGGTTGCTTTATTTTATATTTTGAATGATTAAATCTATTTCAGATATAAAATAAACTGAGATAAACTAAAATAAACTAAAATAGGGTTTCAATATACAGATTTTGTGATCTTTTGAGATTAGGTAATAGAATATGACTTTTTCTATATCCACCTCGAACTTTCAATTACAGAGATGTGATGGAGGCGATAGGATGGAAATTTGCATTAATCGAATAGTCAAAGAAGTCATTTAAGCTCTGCTTCTAAATGCATAGGAAGGAACAATTCGGATGCAGACTGTACAAATATTTGAGTCTCAGTTCCGATATTTATAAGCTTCTTATTCGATTGCTGCAGGGTATATAATCTGAAATCAACCCATTCTTTGAAATCTGGAAAACTTGGGGTCTGAAATTCTGCAAATGTGAGTCGACAATTATGATAGCTCGCCCAAAACTTATAGGGTAGCGGTTTTCAGTGTGAATCATTTACTATTGTTCTTTGCCAATTTATATGTGTTGTGCGTGACAGAAGAACCTTGAGAAGTCGAAGAATCGCATCTAAAACTAATCCGAAATCTCAAAGTAGAGACTCCTGCTATTCATTTGGATTATCATATTTCAACATCACACCCTCCTGGTCCCTTCATCAAGCCAGGGGCTATAAACAACTTGATGCATTTCCTCTCCCCGAGGAATCTCCACTTACCTCTTTCCTCGTGAAAGTGTCCCAAAAATAATCACTGGTAATCACTATTTCTTAACTTCCATATATATATAGCTTGAAGATCACTACTTGCGTTTCTGAAGCTCCTATATTACTATCAATCTTATATTACAAACCTGGCGTTCGTACTAAAATGTGCCAATAGAGCTGCTAAATCTCACCACCGTGTCAGATATAACGCTCATGGCAACAATTCAAATAGCGACTAATAAATGCCCACCGAGCTCCCGTGCATTTCTGGTTGTGATATCTAACCCAAGACACTGCGTTGGCAACTCTTTGCTAGCTCGGACGCAATTTAGTAAAATCAAAAGCACTACATATTTCCGCAAACCGGAAGATCATAAGAAGAGATTTGCACGCAAGCGGAGACAATAGCAGAACATCACTGACTCACTGCAAGCAGTACTTCGAACCCGGTTGATGATCATGCCCCGTAAAATGTTCCGGGGTACCCCATACCAAGTATCCGGCATTCACAATCTAGTGGTTATACCATATCATTTCACTTGCAAATGAACATCATCTACCGGTACTACACCATCATAGTATGGTCGCATGATCAAAAAGAACAACACACTCATGCTGAGAAGAATGTGTAAAATGCTTATTATTGCATTACTAGTACTGTCATACTTCGAATTCAAACTCCATGACACCCAACCATACCGACACATGAAAAAGAGAAGAAAAAAGGAATGAAAAGAACGAAGCGCCCCTTCCTCAAATATTCCAGTACAGTACATGATTCACGATGACTTTTCCGACTGCGGGTCAATCACTTAACAAGCCCTCACTCAATCCGCCAACTAGGACGAGGAAAGAAGGGTGAACACAAAAAAATCCGGAAAAAGCAATGATGTGTTCAGTGAACTCACACCCAAAGATTATCCCTTCTACTCTCGCAACAGACGATCGCACTGGCGGGGAGAGAAGATCTAACCACATGACCAATAATTCTCAGACTTTCCTTCTTAAGTCCGAATTCACGGAAAGACTTCGGAAATTCAAGTACGGGGACCCTACAAGTACACGTGCGAGATGTTCCTCCATATATCCATTTGGGATCTAACCAATCAACCTACTCCTCAGCCTCCGCTGTCCTCCCTCCCGCTTGCCGTTTCCCGCTTTCCACAACCTCCCCTCCCTACACACCCCCGGACTCAAACCATAAAATACAGCACAATCCCAAACCCCCTCTCCTCTCCGCTCCCCTCCTTCTCTCCTGCATACCACAGACGGACACCACCGGTATATCTCCGGCTATTCCATGGCATAACTAACAACCACTTGTACTCCAAGAAGCGTATAGGATTTCCACCCATGCACACCTCGTTCCAACAGCCGAAAAATCACCAATTTCAACAGAAGCATCCGACCACGCATTCCATGCATTATATATTCCATAAAATACCCAGCATCAATAGGTATAAGTGCCGAGGAAGTAGGAATGGAATAGCGGGGTGCTGGGTTGGGTGCTGGGTAG